AAACACACGGTGCCACAAAGCCTTAGAGACAGGGTTATCATAAGTCATAACACTGAGAGCTGTCCTCGACTAAAAACAAGTGTTGCTGGCATTCCTTGTGATTCACAATCACGGGATCTTGTCCAAGTCTTCCCCGGGCACTTTTACTTTTTTACCTACAAATCTGCTCCTCTGACTGTGCATGTTCTGCGAGCACAGAGAGGGGTCTTGTGATTTATGGAGGAAATTGCATTTTTATGGCCACAAACAGCTGGTGCAGCAATAAAATAAAAATCATTACAACGCTAAAACGCACACATTTACGAGAACCTGGTAAAAACTGTTCTCTAATTAACAGCTGATGGCAGAAATCAGCCTTCGCCTCTTCCTTGGTTTCCATTTTTAAGATAAAGTCATGTTCCGAAATAATAGTTGAGCTGTCTTAAATTATAGGCAACACTAATTTTGACGTAATATTTTTGCTTTGATAACTTTGATGTTTTTCCTCACGCATAAAAACAGGCATGCAAATCCATCCCCTCGCTGTGTGACGCTTCTGGCTGAGCACAACAGTGACTTTGTGTTTCTTTCTTCGATCTGTGAAATGTTCCAGTAGGATTGTGTCTCCTGAAATGTTACTATAGGCTCCCAGTGTTCAGATCATAACTGCCACGTGAAATCTGCTCATGCTGTTAAAGAAGCTGTAAAACCCCCTCTACAAGGCAGGAAAATGTAATTACAGAAAAAAAAGTACAATGTGCATCTCAAGGAGGAAGAAGCAAGTCTTTCGGGAAATATTTAATTGCAGTAACACCAAGTTAAGAACTGATCAAGCAGACGTAGCTTAGTCTAACTGTAAAGTACAACGTGAGCCCAGGCTTACCTGCAAAAGGTCAATTGCCAGAGAGTCCGTCCAGTTAGCGGCTACCGTAGGCGCTTCAGTGTGAGTGTGTGTTTCAGCTCCTGGGTACACACAAGAAAGGGGAGAAAAACTAAAAGTGAACACAGGGAATCAAAAAGCTCTACAGCACGGAGGCTGGGTTAATTCTGTGAACACCCACACTGCACTGCACCTTATACTGGCTGGATCTGATTCACTCTCCTCGTCTCCCTTCCCCTCCTCTCCTCTCTCCACATGTCTCTGCCCATTGTCCTATTTTTACAGTTATACCAATTCAAATGTAACCACCAAATGTGAGTCTGTTCTGTGCTTTGTGAAACACAAGGTCCCTTTCTTTTTCTCTCACTCGATTTTTTAAGTTCAGCCCCTGGTGTCTGATACTGGGTTCACAGGGGAAAAATAACTCAACCCCACGGCAGTCGGATGGTCAGGTATTACAAACGCATGCTGTGCAGCCAAAGACTGTTGTAATATTCCCATTTCATGGACAGGTGCAGCCAAAAAATACATGCAGGTTTTAAATATTTTTCTCTGTGAAAACATCATACAGCCTCAGTGAAGAGCTCGAGAACAAGCCGACAGATAATCTATGTAACCCTGCCAAACACTGTGGAATATGATTTTAACAATCTTAAAGCTGCTTACAAAGTAACAAGGAGGATAACTGTATGTTAAAAGGAAATGGCAGAACGCAACTAAGTACATTTACTGAGGTATAGTACATGCATTTCCAGTTTAAGCTACTTTATACTTCACCTTACAACCTGTTGTAATGTGACAATAAATCTACCTTGTACCTCACTACATTTCAGAGGCTAATATTGTACTGTTTGCTCCATTTACGTTCACATCTACATGTATTTAACAGCAATAATTACTTTGCAGAAACAGACGCCATAATGAGCTTATATGATGCATCATAACAGATTAAACTACTCAACAGCAAACAGAGATGCTAAAATTAGCGCCTCCTAAACCAAATACTACAGTCAAAGGCTACTTACACATTAATGCAGCAATATTAATTAATGCACGTGTAATGTAATGTAACCATTCTCCCATATAATGAGTACTTTTACTTTTTAAATGTGAAAATGTATTTTGCTGTTAATGCTTAGGTACAATTTTGAACGAAGGACTTTTAATTGTTTTATTTTGACAATGTGGTATAGCTACGTGAGTAATTACTCTCAACACTTCTTCCACCATTTGTTAATGGGTTAATTAAGCAACTAACGTTACAGCCGCAACTCTCCTATTGCTAACAATCACATTAAAATGCAACAAAGCGAGACATGTGGAGAGAAACAAAGAGCACTTGGCTCTCTGCAGCATGGTAAAGCGTTAACTTTGCAGCGGCTGTGACTATAAACAACGCTTTGTTGCCAATTCTCTACAAATAAATAAGAAATATAGACAAATGAACCGTGCACCGCGCATGCTAACTCGTCGCATCTCTCCTCTAACATCTTTATCGCTAGCTTGAGGATGCCCTGCATGGCTGGACCTGTTAGCATGAAGGCTAACATTAACCCTCTTCTCACGAACAAAAGCCAAGTGATTCAAACATTGTTTAGCCTGGCTGGCTAAGCTAACACACATCGCTGTGCTCCGACCTCAGCCTCGGGGTGATTAGCCGCAAGGACTTTCTGATAATCGGCTAAAAACAGCCAGGCGGACAGATAACCAGCTCCAGCTCGCTGTTAGCTCCGGGGGCGCCAACCTCGCTAACCCCGGCTGCTTCTCGTTTTATAGTCTAACCGGCTTTCTAGCTACCATGCCTACACGGTGACTTTCTCCACGGTGTTCACATTTAAATACAAAGTGTAATAAATACAGAAATCATACCTTTCAGAGAGAAAATATAGCAGAGGGTGTGTGTTTGACAGGTGAAGGTGTAAACACAGATGTGATTGGTCTAGGAGCATTTCCTCTGCCGGCGGAGCGATACAAACATGCGCTGCGACTCACCTAGTATAAAGGAAATGCCGCAGTATCTTTGCGCAGCAGGAGCATCCAAGTTAAATAGATCCGCGCGATTGTGTCACTCTACTCACTCTATGGTGATATTCGGGTGTGAAAGAGCCAAAATGTGGTGTCCTGGGTGGTGGTAGATTAGTGAAAGAAGGTCTGAAGTTATCAGCCTCGGGAACTTACTCACGTACATCAAACTAACCGGGTCTACTTCTCATTCATAATAGCCTGTGTGCTCTAAAGGAGTCATCACACTTTTTATAAAGTATATAAGTTATACGCAGCCTTGAGAATATGGAGCCCACTTTCACCACGAAAAATGAGAAATAGATGACAAATGACAAATTATAGAAAAAATATTGTTAAATGTTGGCTTTCTACTTCATGTTTTGTAATAAGTCAACAATTTTTGTTAAAGAAAAATGTATGATGAGATAGCAAATCAAGATTTGGACCTGCTATGTCAAATTGATGACACAGTTTTGGATTACTCAGTGAAAACGATGAGATAGTAAATCAAAAGTGTGACATACAAAGTCAAAGTGATAATAGTAAGTCAAAATATGATTTTGAGTCAAAATAATGAGATAGATTACTACGTTGAAATCTTCAAATTATAAATTTGAGTAAATCTATATTTTAAATTATAAATTTCAAATTTGACTTGATGACTTGAGTATTTTAATGTTTATCATGTTACTTGTTTTTTCTGATCATGGCACAAACGGGCTTCCATAAGATGTAGATTTGCAGAACTATTCAAACTATTTTGACTCCTTGTGGCAGTGAAAACTATAAAACATTAAACTGTAATCTCTGAAGAATCCAGTTTCTCTAGTTTAATAGACACTTCACGCCTGTTCCAAACTAAGGCACTAGGTGGGAGTAGGACACCAAAGTGAAAACAGAGGGGAGGGGAGGGACGTTTGTATCAGCCGTGCACCTCCTTTCAATGGACCTGTTATGGCATGTCAGTAACCTTAACGAGTTAGTTATGTACGATATCATTATATATTATCATATCAGTGCTTCAAAAAAAATTGTGAGATTGAGAGGTTGTCCATTCTGATTTAATTTTTAAAAAAGTGGCAGTAAAGTATCTCTGTTATAAATAAACCCATTGTTTATTATGCCTACTGAAACAACACAGACTTCAATGTAAGTAACATAAGACACAACACTGTGTAACACTAACCATAAATATTTAGAGGCTAATCAGAGTTTCTCTGGTGTTAGTAGGTTGGACGACCAAACAAGAAGTTTACAATAAACAACCAAAGTACCGGAAGTATGCGTTTTGGCTTTCAAAATAAGAGTACCAAAATAAATCCATCAACGCAAAATCATGTAAGCAAGATTTCTGGTTGAGAATGTAGGATAAAATACGAAGCCTACACTTGTTAATCACTTTGAAAGGAGATAATTGCTCAAATGGTTGTTTTCTGACATATTTAAGACTTTTACCTATGCAGTTTATGGTGAGACACCACTGTACAAAATCATGATTTTGATTCTGTCAATTTTCTGATTTCAAGTTATTTTGCAACAATTATTACCAAGTCTGTTAACTGCAGATCGCGTAAAAATTCATCTTTGTTAGCATTTTCCATATAAAATTCGACCAGTATTTTTACTCTCCCCACGTTGAACCATATATCTTTTAAAGGTTTGTTTTCTAGAACACAAGGTTAGCTAGTCCATAAATCATATCCATAAGATATGTGTTTGTGGGACAGTAACAGTCATTTTTATACGTGTGTTTTTATTGCGTTAGCTAATCTTTAACAGCCTTTTCTCAAAACGGCATGTTTCCTGTAAGCCTTGTCATTTATCTTTTATCATTCTCATTTTATGTGGAATTTTATCTGTACAGATGTGGGGAAAAGGTCCATCACACATATGACTGAAAATGGATTTGGGTGATATACAAATAGCTGTATTTTTTAAATAAAAAAAACATAAACAGTTGTATTTATATGTTTTTTTAAGCTTCTATTTATGTATACTTTCAGTTTGTAAAATTTCAATGGGATAACTGTGGTGTCTCGCCTGAAATTGTGTTGATTTATTTTGAAATTCCCTACCGGAAGCTCTGAACGTTACTGTGTGTGAGTTGGCGGTTTGGTACGGCAGCAGGGGGGTTGATTCACTCCTACCTCCCGTCCTATCCTCTCATAAATGCTGGTGGTAACAAAGGAGACAACAACAAGGGGATGAAGGGTGCTCAGACTACAAGCCTGTCAGAGAAACAATAAGAAACTGAACCGGTTCGCTTTTACGTTGGGGATTTATTTTATTAACAGTACCGTTTTTTCCTCCGCGAGACGAGTTAAAGTTCAAAGTAAATGTATCTGCGACCTGGACCCATTTTAACCTAAAACCTTTTTTCTTGCCAAAGCTAACTATGCAGGACTGACAACACTGCAGCCGAATAACTCAAGATAAAGATCCAGGCATGTCTGAATAAGATCGGTGAGTTTTATTGTTTGTTAATTTATGTTTTAAGTGAGATTAGTTAATTACTGGTAGTTTAGCCGACGCGGTTTGGTTGCCTTAGAAGGTTGAGTGTGTAAGCACCTGTTCCCTTATGGAAATCCTTTGTATTACTTGCCAGGGGTTTTATAAGATTAAAGTGACGTTAAAATACTGTAAAGTATTTATTTTAACCCTTGCGATATTACTGCAGAATAATCTTGTAATTGAATATGTTGGCATATTTTCCCATTTTGTTAAGGTGGGAAGGTATCAGTACGGGTCTAAGCCATATAATTGGCGATTTAAGGATACAAATAAGACCATTAGACAAACTTTGATTTGAACTTTTATGAATAGTCTGCCCTTGACACACAATTCGTCTTTAATAATTGTTATGTTGGGTTGTTATTAACATTTAGGTTAGGCCACTAAGTTATTGCAGCTTCAGCTGAGACATTTCCCCATGTCACAATCGTAATAAGACCTAAATAGCATATTTAGATTTACATATCTATGCATCACTCATGTCACCAAACCAGCTCTATATGTTTACTCCTCTTCCCTGGATTCCCACCCCTTGTGTGTTTGTTTGTGTGTGTTTTCCTTACCCACACACCTTTTCTGTCCCCTCTTCCTGTCCAATGTGGAGCTTCCACACATATCACATGTATTGTAATGGTAGCTCTCTTAAAGGCCCCCCTACCCATTCTCTATACACACTGTCCCATTAGTCTCCTGAGCAGATGGCATACTGTACAGCACACACATACACACACAGAGCACTGTGGTAATGGTCTCCCTCTTTATTAAGCACTGAAGGCAAGGATTGTTCTCAAGCTGGTCTGATTTAAGGGATCACACCATTTCTGATATGTATTGGATTTACCAGGACAAGCACACTTACTGGAATGAATGGCTGGCCCACTGACCCAGAGTGTGTGTAGGGGTCCAGTAGACTGGAGGATGTGGCTATTGAACTAACCAGGTCAATAAAGCAAAGGGAGACAATAGAGACGTGAAGTCTGGTGGGGGGCTGATTGAAAGAAAGTCAGGGGGGACTTGTGACCTCAAGTCTAGTCTCTTACTTGGTCTATAAGTGCATTAACAGACAATCTGAATGTGTTACCCCCCCCCCCCCCCCCCCCCCATCTGTGAGTACTTCGTGAGCGAACACACACTCTTATTTAAGGTTTATATGTCACCCTGTGGACAAACATAATAACCCAAGGGCCAAAAGTGAAACCTGCACACACCCACGCACATACATTGCTGTAGTGATATCATGACTCCTGATGAGATTATAAAAGAAGTTATTAGTAGCTTTAATTCTGAAACATGTCTCGAAATGTTCCTGAGAGCGGTGTAACTTGAAAATCAAGAAATTGAAGGAGAAGAGAAGGAGTGTTAGAAAATGGCTACAGTTGCATGGCTATAAAACTACTCTGTTTCATAATTAACCTCCAGATGTTTTCATGCCATGCGTTCTGGTATTGTGTAATTATTTTATACATGGCTAGTTGTCAGCCCAGAAATGCTTTCTCATCAAACTGAAATGTGACACCCTGTCTGTCCCATTGACTGACACATGCTGTACCATTCAAACTGGTCTGACTAGATGGTGCACAACATCTCAATTACAAACAGCTGCTGCCTGTGTGTTGTTGACTTTAGTGAGCTGTGTGTGTGGGGAAATAAAAAAAATAGTAAATTGCTATCTTTGATACTGTTTGCCTGCTTGTATAAGACACTTATCTTGATTACTTTATTTGTCACTGGTTCGGTCACAACTCTATATGAAATTGCCTGCACTGTACATGAAAAGAACAGCCTCTAATCTTTCCCAAAGCACTTTTAATGAATGAAAAGACTGATTTAGTGTTGCTCTTGCATAAAGTTGGGGGACTTGCGAGAAATAGATTTTGATTCAGCAGAGGCCAAGATATCCTGACTTTATGTCTACAGTGTGGTTCAAGTTCCAAAAACATCCTACATTTCCCATAATGCAACCCAGTAGTGTCCTATTTTCTTAAACTCTTAAAACTCCCTGCAGAACCACAGAAGACTTTAAGATTTTTCAATTGGACTTTGGATTATTGCAATAAATTAAAAAAACAAAAGTTTATAATACACATTGGGGAGGTAGAGCCGTCGTCTCGTAATCAGAAGGTTCCTTGATTGATCCCTGGATTGGTTATCAGTAGATAAGAAAAGCACTGTATGAATGCGATGAACCACTTTGATGGTTTTTGAGGCGTCAGCGCAATCACCAGAAGTAAAAAACTAACATTCGGCTATAAAGGGATTAGCTTGTGTTAACCACAGACTTTATTTCAGGCATCTAACCAAAAACCCATTCACAAAAACCCAGTGACTTCGAGTTGAGGGAACCAAAAGTGCACAAATGCCAAGTCATTTCTGGGTTTTAGGACTCATTCCTGCAGCAGGGTCATTTTTAATCACCTTATCAACAGTGATTAATAGGAGTGCAACTAGCCATTTTATCAATTTAATTATCAATTTACCAGTTGGTTAAAAATGCACATTATGTTTTCCCAGACCCAAGGATGATGCCTTCAAATGTCTTTTTCCCCCAAACAACAGTCCAAAACCCAAAGATATTACATTTATATATAAATAGCTGTGAAAAGCTGGAAAGTCTCATATTTGAGAAGCTGTGACCAGTTTTTGGTTTTATTTCTGTCATCAACTAAGGGATCGACTGATTGTTTTGAAACAACTATAGATATTTGGGGTTCATGTGACTCCCAGCTGCTCGTTGGCCTCTGTGACAGGCAACTTTCATTATCAATCTCAGTCAATCTGAAACATAATCACTGCATCTTTGTAGAAAAATGATTGTTGACTGCAGCCTTTCAACAATGTGTGTGTACTCCCATAAATCAGAGAGTCACACAAAGCAGTGCCGCAACGTCTTCTTCTGGATCTCTGCTTTGTGTGCTGCATGACTCAGAAGATGACTAACCCTTGTTTGGTTTGGGATTACATCAGCTGTTGCACACGCATCATCTAAACAACAAAACACATGGTGAGAATCTGCAGCGTGGCCATTTGGTCGTCCAAAATGGAAATTGAATTTCACTGTGTAATCATGTTTCTTTTCATAGACACAGGCTGAAAGAAGTGCCACGTTTAACTAGAGTTCTTTGAATAAGGAAACAGGTCAGTGTTTGAACTGAATCAATCCAGATTTACTGCAGTAACGGGTGTCAGCGTGTGTTCATCTGTAATTACAACATTTGCAGGTTTTTCAGGATTTTTCTGTCTACGAGATAGCAGTACACAGTAGGTTCACTTTTTTAAAATGTTTACATCTACCGGTATGTAAAGACCTCAGACAATGCTGTAGCACAGGACTTGTGCAAATGCCAATGAAAACATGGCCTCATGTGACCATGCCAACGACGGTCGTTAAAACAGCCAGGATCACTAACGAACCCTGCAGAGGTTAAATGGCTGGGATTCCCTTTCAGCCAGTTGGAACTAAAAAAGCCCCTCAGATGAGAGGCAAAACGTCTTCGAGTGTCTTTAACCACGTCCAGTTGCCCTTGATTTTAACCTTCATTTGATAGCTATGACCTGAATGACTGAGAATCTTCACAGACATTTAAAACAAACATTTTCAGAGCACTGAAAGGTAAAAGATTACAAGGAGCTTAAAGCTATCCAACAGACAGGGAACAGGGAGGGGTGATTATAAATATACATTTGTATTGAAACCGTGGGTAACTACTAATTGAATTACACTTGTGTGTCATGAATCATCTATAGCTTGCTACACATTATTATTTTACACATTCATTAACAGCAAACCAAAGAAGGATCGCCTTTCTGTGTTCACAACTTCACAGTGTTGTTTTACGTTCGATCGGTAATCATATCACATTTGAAATGAATCTGAAGTTTTCCTAGGCTGACTCTTGCTATCTTGTCTGAAATGGAAACCTTATCTTTGGTCATGCTTCGGACTCTTTCCAGTCATTAAAACAGTAAATTAATAAACAACATCATCCTTTTCAGCTGTGAGTCAGTAATAAATAACACTTGTAAGAAGTTGGACAGGGATGTCAGGGAACTTCACAATGGAACAATCAATGATCTGTAGCCGTATCTTCCCTTCATTGCGTCACCTTGTAGTGCTGTAGGCACACTACTCGGCTCACATCTCACGTGATCTCACTAGAAATGAGCGGGTTCCTTACAAAGCAAAGTTCAATTTTCCTCTGAGGTCTTAACTTCAGAGGGGGATTTGTAGCACAGAGCTTAAAGTCTGATGTTAAGATTATACTGTAATGGAAAATGACTATAATTTTGGTGAATCATTTTAAGAGCCCACAAGACAAAAACTTTGGGAACTGTAAACAATGGGTTCACCGTGTAATTGTAACGTTTCCAGTTCAAGTCTGACTTTTATTTCATTCCTATCTTTCTTCTTTCTGCATTACCTGTTAGCTCTCTACTGGGCATGACATCCCCAGAACAGTACATGAAATAAAGTGGTCTGCTTGTGCCTCCATATATGGTTATGGCTATTTATGGAGCCTGAGGAGGTGAAACAATGCAGTATTTCACAAGAAAGAAAATTAGAAAAAATGGCGTATAAAAACAAAATTTTCTGTAACAGAAAAATATCTGTGTATTTTATTTTTCTCATCTCTTTAATTGTTTTCTTATCAGTACACACGTTTGACTTCGTGTGACAATGCCAACGACGGCGGTTCAGACTTGGTCTCGGGTGTCTCCAACGACCATAACGACTGTCAGGAGCACTAACGAACCAAGCGACCATGACAATGAACCAACAGAGGTTACTCTTCTGGGATCTTAAACCAGTCAGACTTCTTATCTTTATATCTTGCGACCTTATAATATATAAGAAATACCACCGATTTTACACACGCAAACACACAAGCAAGTAAAGTTAAAGATCTTGAAGGAGTACGACTAGGTGAAAAATGTCCCGTAAAGCATTTTGTGGCCTCAGAGAGAGCTGCGCAAAGTCTGATAAATTGACTTAGGTGATGTCACTTGAGTCATTGTTATTCGGGGCTGAAGACCAGTTCGAAGTTTGAAATTGTAAAAGACAAAAAATAAAAATAAAAAAGACAAAATCTCTGGTTCTGCTGCATCGATACTTACTACTACTTTGCAATGTTAACTCTGTGAAGTACTCTTTTAATAATTTAATTAACTTTGCATTTGATATAATATCAGACTGGTTTTAAACTTATTTAAACTCACTTAATTTTAAACTCTTTACTCATCAGGTGATGAAGACGTGCTCACGTTGACCGTTGCCATCTAAACTTGAACTCTGACTGGTCAGGGCTGAGAGTGAAACACACAGTAAGCAACCATGTCTGTCCAGCAAGCATCCCAACGGCCCACGTCGCCTTCAGCCTTCAAACCTGAGGCCAGAACGAGACCGGGTATCCCTCCAAAACCGTCCACGCAAACCAGTTTCCCTCCTCTGGGAGACAGCAGTCCAAGCCTTTCTGGAGGGAAGGTCAGGAGCATTGTGGACAAGTTTACCAAACAGAAGTCTGTGCCGAATGAACTGGAGGAACATCCCACCAATGGCACTGCAGAGCTCACGCAAAGTAAACAGTTCAAAAGGCCTCCTACGATAAAGCCCAAACCATGCCGAACCAGCCTGCCGCTTCAGACTGGGCGAGAGCAGGCGCCTCCGCTGCCTGTGAAGAGAACCCGCACCCTGCAGAAGCAGAAAGGGATTGTGGGAGGAGAGGAGGGGGACGGCATCAGCGTGGAAGGAGGTCGATCAGGTACTGTAGATTGTTGTTGTACTTTCCTGCGCCCCGTGTGTTTAATGGGATTTGGGATTATAATAATAAAGGTGAGGTTTAATTACTAATCACAAATCTATCCTCAGATCAAGGCGAGAGTAGTACTGAAAAAAAACTGCTTCCAGTTGTCACTCTCCCAACTTCATATGTTAAAAATCAGGAAGCTATGTCATGTGATTTCTATAAAATGAAGTTAAAATGTTTTATGTGTGTGTGCGTGTCTGTGTCTGTGTGTGTGTGTGTGTGTGTGTCTGTGCTCCTGAGTAATGTGAAAGCAGGAAGTGACGCACGCTGTGCTTACTTGTAGTAAGATAAGGCACAAGCATTTATATCCATCACTCCATTCATCATCTTCTTATCCTCTAGTCCTTGTTGTTGTTGTTGTTGTTGTTGTTGTTGTTGCTTGGTGATTATACATTCGTAAAGGTAAAGCTTATTAAATCTTTGGAGATTTGTTTGAATCTGTAGCTTATTGACGGGATGCCCTTTGCTGTGTCATGATGTTCAGCATTATCCTGACTCAACAAAAGAGGAACACAAAGACGTAGCATGTTATTGGTTGTATTGATTTGTGAGTTCCCTCCGCAGTTACACATTCTGTACTCACTTCCTTGTTTTGGTTCCCTCTGAGCAACAGGAAGCCTTTAGGTGTGACATTCTGTGCCTATATAGCCGCATACCTTCAGTACTGATGGATATCTGCTTTTCACTGGTAATCAGGGCTGCAACTAGTGATTATTGTCAGTATCGATTCATCTGTCTTCAGTTCAGTTTTCCTTTTGAATTTACATTTTGCATTACCACAATCCAAGTTAACGTCTTGCATTTTTTATCTGACCCAACAGTCGGCAACCCAAACATATTAAATATAGAATTATCTAAAACAGTAAAAAGCAGCAAATCCTCATATATAAGAAGAAGCTGGATCAAGAGAAAATAAGCTAAACTATTAATCCAATTTCGAAATACTGATTAATTAATAACTTCAGTTGCTATTTGAGCAGATGTGGAGATCGAATTTAACTTAATGCAAGCACATGTCTGAACAGCTCAATTCTGTTTGCATCTTCATTTAACTATATTATTATGTAAGTGCGAGGGCTTAGTGGGCTTAAACCAGCTAACAGGAAAGGTAAGGCAGGTTCATGCTCTGGGTCATTAGCAGACCTCGTGAGTGTATGTTCACTGACCTTCCAGCTCTTCACCTCGGTCTCTCTTTTTTGTCAGGGTGACAACAGCTGGACTAAAAGGGGAGAGACTGTAGTTCAGGCATCAAGCTAGCAGACACGTGTGTTTTCTGGGAATCTTATATGTTTACAGGAACTCACTGGCTCCACAGATTAAAGTGCAAATCAGTGTGATACCATTAGGTTTCAACGTGAGGTAGGTAATGCATTGGAGGCTAAACATCAGGCAGGTTGACAGTATGGGGAAAGACAGAAAGATAAACTGGGGGGCTAGAAGATGGCCTTTGGTGTTGGCGTTGCATGTGCTCACACGTTGTATGCTGGCACTGTATCTCAATAAACATTGCTGATGTTGATCTTACCTTCACTTCTTCCATTTCCTTTTGCCCCCCCCCCCCCCCGCCTCCCTCATGCATTGCTCCAAACTTCCCATGAATATTTGAACACACCACTTGCAGACGTGCTGCATTTGCATAGTGATGAACCGCTGACTCGACAGTCCATTGTGGGCCACGTGAAGCTGTTGTGAGGAGAGCAGATGGAAATGGATAAAAGCTCTATCTGGGGATGCACATGTAGGAAAGAAGCTGACAGGAAACAGCTCATTCACACTCATTAGCTTGGTGCTTTAGACTGGGATGTGGAGAGAAAATTGAGCCACTACCTTCTATAGAAACACGAAAATGTTGTAGATGTGACAACTGTTCTCCCATTTTCATGAACATTTCAAAGCAGTTTCTGTGTTGCTTCTTTTTGATGCAGCCCCTGATGGAAAAGAGGTGGAGGTGAAGCTGATTGGAGGAGGTGAAGTGGAGGCGGAGCACAGTTCACACACGCCTCTCGGTTCCTGCTGTGACGCAAGCTGCAGCTGTGTGTGCCACCTCCAGTGTCCGGGCATGAAACTAATATGGGTGCCAGTTGATGAGGATGATGGTGGGGAGGAGGAGGAGGTTGGAGGTGGAGATGAGGATGAGAACGATGCTGACGAGCAGAGGGGGGAGAATGGGGAGGATTGGGAGGAGGATGAGGAGGCAGAGGGGGGAGGGCACCACAAGGCAGGGGATGAGGTGGACAAGACTCCTGTGGCTGATGAAAGTGAAGTGTTGAAACAAGAAAAGACAAAGTTCCACCATAGTTTGGGTGTTTTGATCGCTGATGGTCACAGGAGATGTTCGGACCCGGGCCCTGCCTCTGTTCTCGCCTCCCTTGCTGTCACTCGCTCTCAGTCTCCCCCAGTTCCCCCAAAACGTGTTCCATCACCACAAATGCTCCAAACTCACAGCCAAGATGAAGATGAGAATATTTACGAGCTCACCCTTCCAGCGTTCGACCCCACTCCAGTAATAGTGCGCAAACCAGCCCGCCGGTCTAAACTGTCCAACAGCACCTCACTCACAGACCAGACGTCCCAGTTTCAGAAGAACACAGAACCCACCTCAAACCCGCACGACGTGGTGCCCGTCGTCCCACCGAGGATGCCTGTTAATCAGGACAGCCGCAGCCTCACGCTGGCGCTCCGGGGCGGCATTCTTCTCCCCCAGCCCACGCTGGAGGAGTGGCGCACCTTGCTGCCCTCGTCCACCAACAGCCTCGCCGCCAGCCGGCTGAGCCCCCAGCGGCCCATCACTCCACCCCCTTCCGCCCCTCACAGACCCCCACCTCCACCGCCAAAGACAGATCCCCGGAGGCTCAGCTATGTCTCGCAGCAATCCCTAACACCCAAAAGCGGTTTGTACCGAACATTATTATCTTTGCCTGATATGAGCTATAAATGATGCACAAGTTGTTCATTTTCTGTGTAATCAAAAGTGTCTTGTCTTTTTAGAAGGAGGGGAGGATGGAGGGAATGAAGAAGAGAAAGAGGACACACTGGAAGAGCCGTGAGTTTTCACTCCAACCCCGTTTTACCTCCTACTTACATCATTCAAAGAATAAGGCAGACGATATTCTATATTTTTCTATTTGTCAACAAATCATGAAAAGACCAAACTATCAATGAGTTAAAGCTTTTTCCTCTGCGACATAAGCCTCTATTGTCCAGAAACACATCGGTGTTATTACCTTGAACATGGGCATTGTAGTTTAATTTTAATCCTGCTGCCGTAAATACTCACTGGAGCTCCAAATGTGATTCAATCCATGGCTGAAAATAGTCCCCAGCAAATGTACTATTTACTCCTGTTTCAGTAAGGCTAAAAACTGCAGCGCAACAATTTTGCCTTTTTAAAAAAGACTGAAGTCTTGAGTTGGAGCCAATGGGCTGAGAGCCGCAGACAGAGTAGGGAAGTCGGATAGTATTTGGAGGCGGACCAACACATTTTTGGTTTTGTTCTTTTTGTGGGATTTGTTGACTGTAGGAAAAATATATAATTTCACGAGCCTTATCATTTAAGACAGCACTGATGTTCTTGAGTGTGGAGGAATCATTAACTGTGTCATTCAATCTTATGTTGGACAGTTTGGTTTCATAACATCCGACTGATCACTGTCTCCTCTTTCCATACTTCCCTCAGGAGGGGGTTTTCGTTCAACTGGAAGCCCCGGCTGCAGGATGGTAAGCCTGACAACCTGTAACAAACAAACCAGAAACAGAAAAAGATGAGTCAGGCCAATGTCGCAGTAATGCTTTTAACAGGATACAATCTCAGTATGTTGGGATGTTGGTCACGCGCCATTATCATTTGGTGAATTTTTCCATGAGCTGTAATGATTGCCATTAATTTAATACTTTGTTTGCACATTTAGAGCAACTATTCACATTCAGTCTGCCCTTTGCAGTTAATGTGTCATTCTGGTTTAAAATTAGTGCGTAGTTTTGATTAAACTGGTCTTATTTTGTGTGTGTGTTACTTGCGTACTGGGGTCTACTATTAGGAACCTTTGTGACTTGTTTCCCCTCAGAACCTCTGTACCAGACGTACCGTGCCACTGTCATCACCAAGGAGATCCGACGCCAGACAGTTTGCCGTAACATCAGTAAAACTAGCGTGGACTTTGCTATGGACTGGGCACCCCGTCACGCCGAGACTGGAACTGGTACAGGGACTGAAAATGAAGCACCGAGGGGCATCCCTGTGCCCACACCGGGCCAGAACACCTTGTGGCAGGACCTCCCGGCTGTTCGGAAGGGAGGGGTGCTGGAGAAGCTCACCCCTGAACAGTGCAAGTACCAGGAGGTGAGGGAGGCTAATGTACTGAGGAGAGACTGCATGAGGAAAAATCAATGCTGCAAGGAGAAGACAAATGGGAGACGCAGTATTAACTTTTAAATCACATCTTAAAGTAATAATGTGATGGTTTTTATATAAATTAAGGTCCACTCTGCCTCAGTCTACCACCCACTGCTGTAATATAATATTGATTGACTCTATCGCCACTCCATGAAAGCTTTTATAGTCACTCTTCCAACTTTCCGACATCAGGCGAGGATCCTTTAACGTAGACGAAGTGATGCACTTCTGTTCCTGCCTCTCATAATCTCGACACAACACATCCAGAAAATACATATTGGAAAACATAGGGGGCTTGTAAATAAACCTGGTCATTTGTTGATTTAATCGAACAATAAGAAGAGGAAATAAAAACAAATACAATTCTGAATCCAATAAAACAGATTGTAGTAAAAACAGAAAAACAACAAATCAATTTGGCAGTACACTTTAAGAAATGGATTCATTCACAAAAAATACGATAGTTTCAATATCATTTATGGAGAATATTATAAAAGAAAAAAAGATTTACATTTCAATTTATCGTTTGGCTCTCTGTTTTCTTACTCCCTTACTTTTTTACTTACATGTCATCTGGGGGTCTATTGTGGGCTAATAAGGGCTTTCATATTAGAAATAATTGTTAATAACAGTCATTCTTGCTGTTGATCACCTGAACTTGTGTGAATCCTTCAAACTTTTAGATGTAAGTTGTGCCTTAAGCAATGACTCCCTGAAAAGAAGCATTTTATTCAGCGAGTGGTGTCTTTTTCTCCACACATGTAGGATAAAGAAATCTTTGCTGTAAGTGTTATGTTTGTACGCCATGTTGATCCACTTTTTGGTCTTAATTTCCAGCTCATTTGTCACATCACTCACCTTCTCTTTGGCAGAGTATGTTTGAGGTTATGACATCAGAGGCGTCTTACCTGCGGTCGCTGCGAGTTCTGACCGAACACTTTCTGGACAGCCGGGAGCTGGAGGAGACGATGATCATCAGAGAGAAGAAGACCCTCTTCTCCAACATCCTGAGGGTCAGAGAGGTCAGCGAGAGGTGAGGAATGGCAGGAGGAAGGAGGCAGGGAGATAAAGGAAAAGGGAAATAGGAAGGCGATTCATGACTCGAATTGCCGCGAGGTCACTTGGTGTTTCTGGAGACAGGAAGGAAAAGCAAAGATGTAATGAGTCATATCCATATTTGAGGCTAGGTGGTGGTCAGTTTAAGCTTTGTTTGTCTTTGTCTAGTTATTCTTTACGGTTCAAAAGCTTTCTTCAGATCTTTGCTGTCTGACTCCACAGGTTCTTGAAAGACCTGGAGGACCGCATATTCTCAGACCTTGTCTTCCCTGACATCTGTGACATAATTCACTACCACGCCCAACACAACTTCCCTGCCTACATCGACTATGTCCGCAACCAGATCTACCAGGAAAAGACCTACACCTGTCTCATGTAAGGAACAACAGTCTGTCTTCTCCAGATAGTTCCCTCTTTCTTAGAATTTAGACGGGGAGAGATAAGATAGGACTTTTAGGAATGCAAGCTGAATGGATCTTAACTGCTTTTTTAAAATAGAAATATGTTGTTTTCATCCACAGCATTTTGTAAAGCATGGGGAGCTACAACTTCCTCATAGTAAATGTCTTATTATTATCAGATAGGAAGCAGGAGCACGAAAGATGAGCGGAAACACTGCCATTAAATGAAACTGTATCCTCTGAAATCTCCTGTCTCCCTCCTTTTCTCTGTTTCATAAGCATAGGAACATTACAGCTGCATTACTTGGCATTTATGTGTGTCTACAGGAAGAACAACGTGGCGTTTGCTACGGTCATCACTCGTCTTCAAGAGTCACCTCTATGCCAGCGGCTGCCCTTCATGTCCTTCCTGCTGCTGCCCTTCCAGCGAATAACACGCATCAAAATGCTCGTTGAGGTGAGAGGCATCATGGGAATTGTAAAATTCTACCATCCACGTGTTGCCACTTCAAACAATGAAGAATAAGTACAATAGCTTGATAAATACAGCTGGAGGTGATTAGCTTAGCTTAGCATAAAGACTGGAAGGAGGGGGAAACAGCTAGCCAGGCTCTGGCTCGAACTGCTGTTCACCAATAAAAAGTTACAGCCAAAGGTGTCATTGACACTGGGGATGCTGGGGATGTGACCACTTTTTGAAAGCAATTGTTAAAAATCTCCTGAAAAATAGCTTGCAACAAGAAATAACAAATTAAATTGCTTTGAGAAAGGTTTATTTGCACAATAAGAAAACATGCAATGCAATTTAAATCTAGAAGAAACAAATGTGCAATGTCCAAGAAAGGAACTTTAAGCAACAACAAAAAAACCTACTGATTACTGCTTTATATTCTATTATAGCCTATTTATATATTTTGAATTGTCACCTGCCACCTGAGGTTTGTGTTTACCTTTATATAAAGAAAGACATTTTCAGCATAGGTTGGTGCAAAAAATGTCTCTAGAATGCAGGAAATTAAGAGTTTAATGCTCAAAATGTTCTGTGGGAGGACCCCCCCAGACCCCCGCCAATCATACTGTATATTTCAACATCAAATATTTCTTAAACAACAGAGATACAACATGTAGATTAGTGAGCTTTAGAGGCCATTTATAGGAGTATTTTTTTAAAACTTTGTCTCCTGTGCTTCTAGTCTTAATGCTAAGCTAATTTCCTTAATACTAATAATTCCTTAATTGCTTAATACTTAACGCAGCGGCATGAAAGTGTTATCAGTTTACTTGTCAACACGTTGAGTTCATCACGGTGTGTTGCTTTGTGGAGTTCCAGCATAATCTCCCCTGCTTAAACTCGTCACTACCTCTTGACAGATAAGCAAACACATGGGCACACCTAGCCTCAAATTAATGACTCTGTTTGCATTCAGTTGCTAAAAAAGGCGCCCTGTTGCAGAAATAGAAAGTTGTTGTTTGTCGTTTCAGAACATCCTGAAGAGAACAAAGGAGAAGACGACGGAGGAGCAGGCCGCCTCCAAGGCTTTGGATTCGCTGTCGAAGGTAAACACCGTTCACTCTTCACCCTACCTTCTGCCAGTAAATTCATATAATTTGAGTCTCAGTGCTTTGCATTGCACTGGAATGTTTACGTCAGCCATTGTTTGAGTGAAGGATTTCCTATTGATTGAGCTCTGCAGGGACAGTGACTCATATGTAGCACTAAGGCAAAGGCAGTACTAACCAGGGAGTCATCACAGGGTAAATTTCAAAGAAATGAACCCGATACTCCCAATGAGACCCGGCCAGTTTTATATATAACGACAGCAAAATGTGAAAAGCAAAATGAATCTCTCGATTAATATTTCAATATCTTGTCTTTTGTTGTTTTGTTTTTTTATCACACACAGATCATTGATGAGTGTAACACACAGGTGGGAAAGATGAGACAGATGGAGGAGTTAATCCATGTGTCTCAGACACTGGAGTTTGACAAGCTCAAGGTAAACTCAAGCACACACACATACACGTGTGTTATTTGTCAGCATTTTAGTTGGACATTTATTTTGAAAATGAGATAAATGGTCGCGTCTTCTCCAGGCCATCCCGATCATTTCACAGACACGATTCTTGGAGAAGAAGGGAGAGCTGCAGGAAATGTCTAAAGGAGGAACTCTCTTCAACATGAGGGCAAAGTTCACCCCCGTCTATTTCTTCCTCTTCAATGATCTGCTCATCATTGCTGCCAAGAAAGGGTGAGGCAGAGATGATTGGTATTCAGCACCAATTATAGACAAACACAAAAGGGGCTGAGATATGTCAACATTTGCAACATTTCTACACATTTTAGGCCACACTAGCAGGATGGTCCACAACTTTGGTCTAGTCTGAAATAACTGAAACTATCAGATGGACTGACTGAATTTTGTAGGCCTTCATGTTCCCGGAGGATGAATCCTAATGCCTTTGGTGATACTCTTTTCATGTAGCGCCACCATCAGGTCAAAATTTTGATGGTTTATGACCAAATGACGATAACAAATGATATTCAGCCTCAGATGTACTGTGCTACTTAGTGAATGTCAGTATGCTAACACACTAAGATGGTGAACATAGTATAAACATTGCACCTGCTAAACATCAACATGTTTACATTTAGCTGAAAGTAGCGGCCTCGCGGCTTTTGTTAACATTTTTTACGTCAGAAATTCTCAGAATGCATTTTTATCTGGGGACACTGATACATTTCAGTCACATTCCTCTTGAATTCCAGCAGAAGTTAGGTTGTGTCAAACACGTTCCTACATCACAGTGGCCTAAATATTATCAATGTGTGTCACCCATCAGTGTCATTTTTTAAAAATAAATAAAATTTGCTTTTTTCATACACAATTGGGCATCTTTGATTATAATTTATGAGGCAGAGCTGAATCAACTGCCAACAACTACACAGCTGCTAGTAAACTCTGTTGAAGTAGCTGCTGTAAAAAGCCACTTATTCTGTAGCTTCATTGTACTGCGATTTAGATTCAAGATCATAAATTGCGGTTTATCATTAACCTTGCTAACAATAATGGTATTATTAAGTTATGGGAGGTTGGTAGTGGTCTGTGGACTCATCTCACTGTTCAGGATGCTTCATATTTTTTCTCCTTGGACGCTGTGCAGAGGAGAAAATATCTCCACCTGCCTCGTTTGACAAGCTGTCTTAACGCCACTAACAACGGAGAATGTGACTACTGCAGACCGCAAGAGCAATCATGAGTCTCTAAAAGTGTGTCGTCACTAGTGAAATGATTCCAAAGTTCCTCTAATGTAGCAGGAAGTCAAGTTAAAAGAGATTTCAGAGGAATAGAGGAAGATTTCAAATATGCCATTATTGCCACATAGATATGAAATACAGAAGACATACAACATGCATATTATACAAAGTGCAACTTAATTGCATAATACTTCACATGCTCCAGTTTTTATCACTGCTATAAAATTATAATTAAGAGAATAATTCACAAAATTTATTAGTCTACATATTTATTTCCTTTAAGCTCCTAAAGGTATTGATTAGCTAATATTTTGCTACTTTGCCCTATTATAAAAAACGACTAACTCACCCTTCTTTTTCTTGAACAGTGCGGAGCGTTTTGTGGTACTTGACCACGCCCACCGTTCTCTGGTGCAGGTGCAGCCAATAGAAGAAGGTGGGACCATCGCCGGCACTGCCGAGCACTGCTTCAGCCTCACCCTGCTGGAAAACCACCAGGCCCGCATGTTGGAAAGGGTGTTCAAAGCTCCCTCGGAGTGAGTTGCTCTGCATGTGCTTTGGTTTGATTTGACCGATGAGAATAGTAATCAATCATTACAATCTACATATGAAGTACAGTTCAATTCAGTTCAATTCAATTTTATTTATATAGTGCCAAATCACAACAACAGTTATCTCACAGCGCTTTTCATAAAAGAGCAGGTCTAGACCGTACTCTGTGATGCTATTTACAGAAGCCCAACAATTCCCACCAAGAGCAAGCACAAGGCGACAGAGGCAAGGAAAAACTTCCTTTTAAGAGGCAGAAACCTCGAGCAGAACCATGGCTCGGGGTGGGCGGCCATCTGCCTCGACCGGTTGGGGTGAAGGAGAGGGGGGCGAGGGGGAGAGAGAGAGAGAGGGAGAGGGCAGAAGAGGAACAGAGAGAAAAAGAGAGGGATGGAAGGAGAGAGAGGGGGGGGGGGAGACAGCCTACACAATATACAAACACAGAGGTACAGACAGTAAAGGTGATGTTGCTATAGACTAAATGAAAAATGGTACAGATATTTATAGTAATGTTAATGATAACAATCGTAATGTTAATGATTATAATAACAATAATAGGACTAGCAACAATAGTCGTTGCAGCAGAGGGTGTCGAGCAGGAACACGGGGGCAGCAGGTGACTCGCAGCCACAGATCCAGACTCCACAGCTCCAGAGCCAGAAACACCTGCAGGAAGTGATAGCAGGAGAGAGGAGAGGGACGAGAAAGCACAAGACTACCAGAAAGGGGAGAAGTTGTGTTAGTAACATGCAATAATGGGATGAGGTTGCATATAGAGGGAGAGAAAGTAGAGAAGAGAGGAGCTCAGTGCATCATAGGAAATCCCCCAGCAGTCTAGGCCTATAGCAGCATAACTAAGGGATGGACTCAGGACTCACCTGAGCCAGCCCTAACTATAAGCTTTATCAAAGAGGAAAGTCTTAAGCCTACTCTTAAATGTGGAGATGGTGTCTGCCTCCTGAACCCAAACTGGAACCTGGTTCCAAAGGAGAGAAGCTTGATAGCTGAACGCTCTGGCTCCTAGTCTACTTTTGGAGACTCCACAAGTAACCCTACATTCTGGGAGCGCAGTGCTCTGGTGGGGTAGTAAGGTACTATGAGCTCTTTAAGATAAGATGGTGCCTGACCATTAAGAGCTTTGTAGGTAAGAAGAATGATTTTAAATTCTATTCTGGATTTTACTGGAAGCCAATGAAGAGAAGCTAAAACAGGAGAAATATGATCTCTTTTCCTGGTTCCTGTCAGAACACGTGCTGCAGCATTCTGGATCAGCTGAAGAGTCTTAATGGACTTTTTCGAGCAGCCTGATAATAAGGAATTGCAGTAATCCAGCCTAGAAGTAACAAATGCATGGACTAGTTTTTCTGCATCATTTTTAGACAGATGTTCCTGATTTTCGCAATATTACGTAGGTGAAAAAAGGCAGTCCTTGAAATTTGCTTAATGTGAGACTTAAACGACATGTCCTGATCAAAGATAACTCCAAGATTCGTCACAGTGGCGCTGGAGGCCAAGGCGATGCCATCAAGGGAAACTATATCTTTAGATAATGCGTCATGGAGGTGCTTAGGCCCCAGAACAATAACTTTTATTTAAGTTTTATCTGAGTTTAACATTAGAAAATTACAGGTCATCCAGGTTTTAACATCCTGAAGGCACATTTGAAGTTTAGCTAACTGATGAGTTTCATCTGGCTTGATCGATAGATATAACTGAGTATCATCTGCATAACAATGAAAGCTTATGGAATATTTCCTGATAATATTGCCTGAAGGAAGCATATATAAAGTGAAGAGGATTGGTCCAAGGACAGATCCTTGAGGAACTCCATGACTAACTTTGGCGTGCATGGAGGACTCATCGTTAACATGTACAAACTGAAATCGATCTGATAAATAGGACTTAAACCAGCTTAGAGCGGTTCCTTTAATGCCAATGAAATATTCCAGTCTCTGCAATAGGATCTGATGGTCAATGATATCAAATGCAGTACTAAGATCTAATAAAAGCAGTTAGATATAGGTCTATAGTTGGCTAAAACATCCGGATCAAGTTTGGGCTTTTTCAGAAGAGGTTTAATTACAGCTACTTTAAAGTACTGTGGTACATAGTCTGTTGATAGAGATAGATTGATCATATCTAGTATAGAGGTGCTGACTAAGGGTAAAACATCTTTAAGCAGCCTAGTCGGGATGGGGTCTAAGAGGCAGGTTGATGGTTTAGATGAAGAAATTATTGAAGTTAGTTGGTAAAGATTGAGGGAAGCAAAACAGTCTAAACATGTATCTGGTTCTACAGCTGTTTCTAAGGTTCCTGAGTTAAGAGATAAGTTGTTGCCAGTTGAGGGCAGGTCTTGGTGAATTTTGTCTCTAATAGCTAGAATTTTATCATTAAAGAAGCTCATGAAATCGTAACTACTGAGAGCTATGGGAATACTTGGCTCAATACAGCTGTGACTCTCTGTCAGCCTGGCTACAGTGCTGAAAAGAAACTTTGGGTTGTTCCTATTTTCCTCTATTAATGACAAGTAGTACGCTGCTCTGGCATTACGGAGGGCCTTCCTATAAGTTTTAAGACTATCTTGCCAAATTAAACGAGAATTTTCCACTTTGGTGGAACGCCAATTCCTCTGTTACTTTGTGACTAGATAATGTATTTAGAGCTGATGGAATCGCATCCTTAAATTTAGCTACAGCACTATCAGACAGACATCTTGTATAGAAGTTTTTGCCCAATGGCGTGTAGTTCAGCAATACAAACTCAAAAGTTATCAAACAGTGGTCAGATAAAGAGGGATTCTGTGGGAACACTATTAAATGTTCGATTTCAATACCATACACCAAAACAAGGTCGAGGGTGTGGTTAAAACAGTGAGTCGGTTCATGAACACTCTGAGAGAAGCCAATTGAATCTAATGAGAGATAAACGCAGTCCTGAAGCTGTCATTCTCAACATCCACATGAATATTAAAATCCCCTACAATAATAACTTTGTCCGTTTTAAGGACTAAAGTTGACAAAAATTCAGATAAGAATTCAGAATACGGGCCAGGTGCTCGGTACACTATAACGAAGAGAATTGGTTGCAGTGATTTCCAACTTGGGTGCGAAAGACTAAGAACAAGGCTTTCAAATGAGTTATAGTTTGGTTTAGGTTTAGAGCTGATTAGTAGGCTAGAGTCAAAGATAGCTGCAACTCCACCTCCTCGGCCTGTGCCTCGAGGAATGTGAGTATTAATATGACTGGGAGGGGTGGATTCATTTAGGCTAACATATTCTCCATCACCCAGCCAGGTTTCAGTAAGACAAAATAAATCAATATCATAATCTGATATTAGTTCATTTACTAGTACACCTTTAGAAGAGAGAGATCTGATGTTTAAGAGTCCACATTTAATTTTCCTATTGGTTTGCACTATTGCTCTTGTGGTTTTAATTTTTACGAGGTTTTTATGCACAGCTCCTCTTCTGTTTACCTTTGATTTAAATAATTTCGATGGTCGGGGGGCAGACACGTCACTATAGGATTTTCACTAAGTAACTCCTGAAATGGAGGAGCAGAGAAGTGTGTTAGACTGCGACTCTGCGTAGGATTTTGGGTGGGTAACTGCTGAATTAGAAGGGCAGAGAAGTGTGTTAGACTGCGACTCTGCCTCCTGGTCTCAACTCTGGGTTGTCATGTATTTGGTCCACTAATAAACTTGGCCAGATTTCTAGAAATGAGAGCTGCTCCTTCCCAAGTGGGATGGATGCCGTCTCTCCGGATCAGACCAGGTCTTCCCCAGAAAGTCCGCCAATGATCTACAAAGCCCACATCGTTTGCTGGACACCACCTCGACAGTAAAATACTAATTCCTAATGGGTAGCACTTCAGAACATATTACTAAGACTTAAAGTAGTCATCAAGAGCAAATTACAAGTGAATCATTTAATTCAAGGCAGAAGAAACAAGTGAGATCTATCATTGGCCATCAACCATGTGCAGGATTTGAGGGAAAGTGGCCTGAAACCAACACATAAACTGCACACAATTTTCTCCAGGATTGTCTTTAATTTCTTTTTACAAACAAAATGATGCAGAAGGATCACAGAAAAATTATTCACATGGGGGCTTTAAATATGATTTGAGAGGCGCTCTTGCTCCACAGTTCTTTGTATATTTTCCAAAACAACAAACAAAATACAACCCTCATGTTTCAAATAACAGATGCAACATGTAACAAGGCCGAGCAGCAGGGACGTGTTGGAGCATAACATCGGGCATTTTAAGTCTTGTCACAAATCTGAGGCTTCTTTTTATTTAAAAAGTCAACTGTTTCTGTCAACAGGTCAGACATGCACAGGTGGATGGCGGCTTTTCCCAACCCCACCAACCCAGAAAGAGAAGAAGAAGAAGTGATATATGAGGACTGGGGTGAGGATGCACACAAAGTGATACTACAGCATGTGGTTTTGTGCGTTTCACACACATCCACAGATTCTCATGTTTATACATTTTTTTGCGTGCATGTCAGATTGTCCTCAGGTGCAGTGTGTGGAGCAGTACATTGCCCAGCAGGCAGATGAGCTCACCCTGGAGCCCACTGAGATCATCAACGTCCTCCGCAAAACCAACGAGGGTAAGAACGTGGAGGGAAACCCAGAAGAAAAAGTTATTTTTTTATGTGGCAGACTGTCGCGGAGATGAGCTGGCCTTGAAATCTAAAATACGTTCAGAGAAGATGATTGCATACAGGAAACATCTCTTCCTTTTAAGTGCTTTCAATCTGTGCTTCTGTCAAATTACCAGTGATTTTTCAGATTTGACATTATCAGTCTGTGGATCTAGACAGAGTAAGATTTCAGACAGGTTTCCTATCAAAGAAGTCAAATGTATTAACATGACTTTGCATCATTTATGCTCTATCCTTTGACTCTGCTTGTTTATACACCCTGATCTGCCTTAATCCTCAAACCCCCTCCACCGTAGCAGTTTATTGATTTCTTTCGACTTTCTTGCATGAACGATACAGAAACCTCCAATCTTCCCTTGTTTGTTCTCCCCCCACCCCAACCCACTCCTCTCCTCTCCTCCTATCTCCCCCCTCTTCCTCCCAGGCTGTTATGAAGGGATCCGCCTCTCCGACGGTCAGAAGGGCTGGTTCCCCGAGGCAAACGTCATCGAGATCACCAATGAGCACGTGAGGCGGCGAAACATCCGAGAGCGCTACAGAGTCATGCAGGCTGCGGGCATGGTCACCAAGACCAACACCGTTAACAGAGATAATTTTTAAAAGGACTATAAATGGAGAGAAACACTTCAGACTATTCCGGGAGCTTTATTAGCTGAAGTGTCAGTTTCTAACAACGACGAAATGAAAGATAAAAGGAGAAGGGTGACTATCATGAGACATCATACCAGAAACGCAGTCGTCACCTTTTTAAAAACTGTGTGAGTGTGCCTTTAAGCAGCTGGGAGCTTGAGGTAGATCATTTACTACTGACACTGAATGTGCATGTGTGCATTCAATAACAGAGATCAGCGTCTGGCAGCAGCAGCAGCGCCTCCTCTTGTGAGCACATAGCCCTGTGTTGACGTGTCATCGTGCTCTGCTGTGAAAGCTGCAGTTTGGAAATGCCGATCATTCTAGCCGCTGCTCGACCAGATTGTCCAAATGTCAGACCGGCTGCAAAGAAAAGAGTCGGGTGTTCCCGTAAACGCCTCTTGTGCCACAGTTGTCACACGCACGCACAAGTTGAATCCTCTCATTCCTGGCATGCACAACAACCAGTCGCAACAAGGTGGCCCGAATACAGGACATGACATGTTTTATGATACTTTCTTTTATGATAAAACTAAACACAACATGATGGACCTGCAAAGAAATTTAATTAGGAAGTGCCTTTTACTAAAACTCAGCACACAGACCTACACGAACACTTGTGTCGGCATCAAATCAAGAACAACAGCTTTGAAAGTGCATGTAAATGTGGGCTGAGCTATTGTGCCATTATGTTTCAGATCGTTGTGCTGTCCACTAGCCTTGTAGCTTATGTCACTGGCCATTGTGGAGTATTGCTGTAGCTCCCCCCCGTGAAGATACACTGTATATGTACAATTTGCTGTAAATAGTAAGTGGGGGGTGGAGGGGATTCTCTCCTTCAGAACAGTGGTAGTGCTTTTAATAAAAGTCTGTCCTTTAAACTCTTTGTTTGTTATTCAGTGACAGAGACTCAACTGTTGATCGTTTTTTTATTGAACACTGATGCAGTAGACTGGTCAAGTTGGACGTGAAATTCTCAAATGAGAAAATTGGGGGTATATTTGGGTCAAAGTTATTCAAGTTAAAAACTTGTGCAAAGAACCTTCAACTAGTTGTTTCCATAATGAGAAAGAGGTATGGAAGTCCCTTTTAAAAAAACATTCAGGGACAACAACAGTCACTGCACGATATCCAGTGCCCCCATGTCTCCGAGGCTCAGGAGCACCTGAACAGCATCTCCCTCAGAGTCTGAGAGCGTCCGTTCCTTCACCTCTGAAAAACCTCCAGAGACACTCGAGCTGCCGTCTGAGGAGGGTGAAGACGATGTCACGTATTCCTCACAAACTGGCAGGGCAACATCATCGGCACTCCTTCCCTCCACAAACCTTAAATCCCCGCAGCCTCGTTCTCCACGTTCCCTGTTTTGGTTATAACCAGCAGTTATGAAAAAAGTCTCAGATCCTTGTTGCTGGTGTGGCAGAGGTGCAGGAAGTGTTGCTGTTGAGTTATTGTGATTTTGGCCCCAGGTTTTGTCCTTCTCTATCAGGCTAAAGCGATTCAAGAGGGTTTTAGCTGCTTCAAGCTCCGTATCTGACCAACATCTTCCCTGCTGACCTTGCAAGCTGGCCTCCCTTGTGTGCTGCAGACCGCTACAGAAGGGCTTGTATGCTTCCATAGGTTGAGGGGGACTAAGGAACGGTATGGGGTTCAAGTCTACTCTGCAAAAGTCCATCTGCGGAGCAGTAAAGGTCTTTTCACTGTGTAAGGGCCCTTGGTGGTGCAGTTTCAGGAGGTTAGTAATGGCCTGGTCCTCCTCTGGGGAAAGCTGGAGGACGACCCGGCTTGGCTGCACCGGAGGGTGGAGGGTATTTATTTTCAAGGTGAGGCTGCCCAGATCCCTGGTGGGGTGTGGTCCAGATCGGAATGGGTCTGGACGCGTTGGTGGGGCTGGGCAGGAAGTCATAACTGGTGGCGGGGTGCTGAGCCGGAAGCTATCGAAGACCTGATGGAAAGAAATGAAGGTGGAAAGAAGTTTTAATACGGATGTTAATAATAAGAATTCAGTCTAATCATGAGATGAATCTGTGTGTGATTTAGGCTAATAAGGTGAATAAATTTAACCAACAGTTGCGCCTTGTGCAGCTTCACACACCTTTCATTTATAAATGACCAACATAAAGACATTTCAAGTTCAAACAACTCAGCATTTATGTCACAGGAATAACACTGATCATTATTTCTAAACAGACCTCAGTCATCTTTGGTGCTTTCTTACCATCCATGCTCGTCAATAAATGTGCTTTCCTTTTCTACACTGCTGTCCAAAATTACTGGTGCATTCACAAATTACAATCATTCACAGGTCTTTGATGGCTTTCCCTAAAAGGAAAAGGGTGTACCTATGTCTGATGCTGTGTCCCGACTGCCAAAACAAACTGCCTCCTCATTTGTCCATGGTCTCAATTTCCTTCCAACCTCCTGGTCAGAGTCTTAACTCTGTCTGACCGGGGACTGAGCCAATCTTATTAAATGTCCCGTCTGAGCCCTTCCATAAGCTCTACCCCCTACAACCACCACCACCCAAAGAGCACAGAGGATAGGCTGGAGCCCCTCATCACCTCAACGTGTGCTCAATACATTCTCACAATCTGGGGTAATTTTTGAATTGGGGAAATGCGTCACATACTTTACAATAATGGCTGTGTTCACTCTTTCACTGCACAGAGAGCGCTACATGCTACTGTACTACATGTTACATTTGATTACAGTGTGTTATCACCACTGTTTGTGCATTTAGTAGGCGTGACAGCTTTCTATCAGAACCAGAGGCAACTTTTTCAGCACTTTGACCTACAGTAGCTCGTCTGTTGACATGTATCAATGAGCCTTGGCCACCCATGACCCTGTCGCTGGTTCACCACTGTCCCTTCCTTGGACCACTTTTGATAGGTATGACCACTGCAGACCATTTTGGAGATGCTCTGACCCTGTCGTCACAATTTCCACAATTTGTCTCTTGTTAAAGTCGCTCAGATCTTTACACTTGCTCATTTTTCCTTTTCAACTATGAGGGCAAAATGTTCACTTGCTGCCTAATGTATCACACCCACTGACAAGTGCTATTGTTACATCATAATCAGTGTTACTCACTTCACTGTCAGTGGTCATAAAGTTATGGTTGATTGGTGTTGATCATCAAAATTTATCAGTGTTGCTGAATTAATGGTTAAGGGCTCACTTTGCCAGCAGATCTTTTAGATACGGCAGCTTCAAAATTACAAAGTTTGCCTCAAACAGCCTTGGCTGTGCTCCAGTCTTGACTCCCTTTGTATGTCATCTTGAATCAAATTTATCTGGTCTTGAGAATGAGGGACTCGTCTTTAAAGTGGTCTTGACTGGGGCCTAGAGTTAACTTTTATTAAAGTTTGGGTGGGAAGATCTATTATCTCCAAACCATTCAAGTTTATTAGTGTGTTTATTCTGTCACCCAGGGACTAAATCCCATGGTTGTATAAAGTATCTAACCATTTATTTATATTTACAGCACTGCACACACTCACCCTCAACTGCCTCACTATGTTGGGGATCCTCCTGCCACGGCCCATGGTGGGATCAGTGTAGAAAACCTCTGCTGGGGTGATGGGATGTACTGGGGGGCAGACTATGAGAGGTCAGAGAGGTCGCACAGCTGGGTGAAGCTTTGAAACAGATGTTGGTGAAATGGACTCACCTGTTTGGCTGCTGCAGCCCGCGCCGTGAGAGCGTGCAGCCATGTAGATAGGCAGGAAAGAGGGGTGGTGCAGGGTCCTGCTGCAGAGAGGAGGCAGGGTGGGCTGCCTGGATCTCTGTTTGAGGAGAAACACGGGGGATATGTAAGCTGCTAAAAATCACAAACACCGTGCTGCATTGTTTACAACCTTTGTCGTCAAAGTAAAATGTTGGGCTACAGAACGGAAGTGAAAGAAAACTCACGACACAATGTCCTTCATTGGAGCTCATGGTTGACTTTTCTGTTCAATAGCTCGGAGAGTCAAAAGTGGCATCTAGCGTTAGTTTACCTTACATGTTGGTGCCAAAAGAAAGTAAAAGTAAAAAATAAACATGTCTACAAAGCGCCCCCTGCTGTTTCAGTCAAGAGACCTCATTTCACTGAGCAGGCATTGAAGATTTTCGATTTAGGAGGAAGTAGGGAGGTCCTTCACTTCAGTAAAAGTACTGATATCACACTGTGAAAATACCTCAAGTTCTACAAAAAGCCCTGCACTGAAATATAAGTATGTATAATCAGGATATCAATAAATTATTACTCATGCTTTAATAGGATTTTACGGATGTAGGCTGGCTGAGGTGGACCTAATTTTTAACTATTTTGTATTGTATTTTTTCATTATGATTAATCTGCTGATTATTTTCTTGAATAATCAATTGGTTTGTAAAAATTTTGAAAATAGTGAAAAATGCTGTCACAATTTCCCAGAGCCCAGCCTGACACCTCACACTGCTTTGTTTTGGGGCAACCAACAGGAATACAATTATTAATAAATTAAAATAAAATAATAAAAATAATTTAAAGAAAAAGCAGCAAATCTTCACATTTGTGAAGTTGCAACCATGAACACTTTTGTTAAAAAATAAAATAAAATAAAGACATAATGATTATTATCATCAACATTTATTTTCTGGTCAGCTGTCCTTGTATATACTGTTGGGTAGTTTTTTTTTTTAGTATTTTATGACAGCAGCATATTGCTGGGGAAGCTGTGAAATAGTGAAGTAAAAGTATATTTCCCTCTGAAATATAGTGGAGTATAAAGTGGCATGAAAACAAAATCCTAGTACCATGTACCAGTACCAAAAATTTGTAAAGTACTTACATTCAACCACAGCCTGCATTTGAATCTCAAAATATAGTAGCACATTCCTAGTTTAAAGTTATTTTAGGTGTGTAAAGATTTTTCCCATCTCCAAAAATGCAATTGTCCTTCTTGAATGCTATAAAGTGAAGCAGATATGTTGTGACTGCATCGCCCTAACTATGATTAGGCCTTACTGTCCAGCGTACAGTGAGGGGAGTATTCAGAATATTATAGTGCAAGAAAAAAACAAAAACTCCACTACAGGACATTTTCTGCTTTCAAAGTTATTTTACTTTTTAATGTATCCAAACCAACCTGCCCATTCCATCAGGTTATATTATGCATAATCTTATTACTGATGCCTTAAATGTTGCAACTGGTTAAGGTTTAAGTTTTTAAATGTTAAACTTTAATTTGCATGTTAATAGTAATTATAACTGCCAGATAATGTAGTCAAGTAAAGAAAAAAAAAATGTAATGGAGTAGAAGTATAAAGAAGAAAAGGTGCAGTATACTAAAAGTGTATTTAGAAAGGGAGTACATTTACTCAATTACTGCCAGGGTAGTCAGTCAAGCCCTTGTAGTTGGATTATAGCTGTAATGCCTCCGACTTGCGATATTGATGTAGCAACAGTTCTATCATCATTTACCTTGAATGTACAGATCTTCAAAAAAAATTTAAAAAGTTGCTTTCACCCAAATCTAACAGCCCTTTAGACACTTTGTTGTCTCCACACAGTGTTTAACTTTGGGTGTGCACATTACCATCGGTCTGTATAGTGGGTGTTGGACAAGTCATGCAATTGACAAATACAGCACTTTATGAAAGAAACTTTATTAAATTCCATTTAAAATGATACTGCCTTTGGATTTGGGCAGCATTTCCTTTATTTTGCAAGAATCCTTCCGTTCCTGTGAAAAATGTCAAAAACAGTAAGTCAACTGACGAGCTCCCCGATTACATGTGAATATTACTCATTCTACTGATAACTTTTTTTTTTTATAAAAAAAAAAAAAAAAAAAAAAAAAAGGGGGGGGTCACATTCTTTTCCTCATTCCACAATTTCAGTCATTTAAGTTCTCACCCATCATCCTCATTCCACTGTTCTACTTGAAACCTAGAAACTTTGACATAGGGCTCAGGCAGGTGGACAGCAGGTCGGAATGAGACAGGTAGTGCGGTTGCAGCAGGTGCCGCAGTGGACTTGATGGTAGGACTCTGCAGAGCTACAGCGCAGAAAGAGCAAAAATGCGAACGAATATAATGAGCGTGAACTGGTCATCATCCACCAGGTGAACAAACCACTGTACCTGCTGCGGGCTGCTTAGTGTGGATGATGCTGCCGATGCCAGCTGTGTCAGACTCAAACTTGTACACTGAGAAGAGGCGATAGAGACTAGCCAGAGGATATGTGCACTGTATTGTAGTCCTGCAAGACAAGAGGATAACTTTGAGAAATAATGTACAGCATTGGATAGGTAGCCGAGGTATAGGCAAATAATGTAGTTGTAGACAGAAAGTGCATTTATCAACTCCTCATGCTAGCAACTGTAAGTGGAAGCTGGTGTATAAATACCACATCTGTAATACAACTCTTCATAGGAAGAGTTATAATTGCAGAAAATACTGTACATCAAACTTGAAGAAAAAAAAATCCCTTTACTTGCATTAGTGAGTTATAAACCATATTTTAAATGTTAATATATTTTATTTTAGGCTAAATATGGGTACTGGTGGGGTGAGGATACATACCTCTCAGCATGACCAGAAACGACCTTGTTCTTGCCGTAGAAAATCTCATTTTGATAAGTCACATTTTCCTTTCCAAGCTGAAGAAGGAGGTGCAAATTGTGACAAATTTATGACACAGATAAGTAAGGATCCAAGTGTTGTCAGTGTCAAGGATAGTTTTACATTAGTAAGCAGCAGTACCTTGACCAGGGATCCACAGCTGTTGATCGGAAAAGAGAAGAGAGCCCTGGTGTCATCTGCCTCTCTGGGTCCACAGTTTTTATCTATAAGGTTTGTTCTAGCAGGGATCCCACCTCTTGGGATGGCCAGAGACAAGTCAGCCACCACAGTCATCATCCCATCAGCCGAACACACTAGAGAAAGAATTTTAAACTCATCTGTGTGTAAAATCCCAAAACCACCCAATACAGCAAGTTCTTACTAATGAGTTCAGGAGCAGAGAAGAGGCAAGTCGTGAAAGCTGAACTCTGGAACTCGGATGCTTCACGATCCCACACAATGACCTCAAAAGTGCCAGAGAAGCCCTTCAAAGTAACGTCCTGTAGAAAATACATGCAGCTTAGTCACTGATGTCCTCGGTCCAGGCAACGCCTTAAGAGATGCTTCCAATAGGAGATTCCTCATCTCACCTTGTACTTGTAGCCATGAGTGAAGAGCGGCACATTGAGCAGCAGACTCCGGCTATCATTGCTCATGATGTAGCCGTGCTGGGCTGCCAGCTCCGACGTCAGCGGGTCAGAGCCGACACGGAGCTCCCACAGGTAGCCAAAAGGCCGGTGGTCCAGTTTGAAGCTGATCCCAGACTCGGAACAGGCGGCATCCAACGATGGAGGATCTGTCAAATACAAGACATTGGATACTCTGCTCACTGCTAATACAAACAGATACAATTTTCTACATGTTGAAGTGTAATGACTTACAGACATCTGTGAACAATGCCTCAATAGAGGCCAGGTGGTAATACAGTTCGTTTTCAGGCAGAACAGTCAGTGTGTAGTTGATGTCCAGCCTATAGTAAAGAACTGCATCTTCTCTGGAGTACTAGGAGACACAAAATACAGTTATGACAGACGCAAGGAGCAAAAGCCAGAAGCCAGCCTACTTCAGAAAGATCTTTACCTGCTGTATGACATCAGGGTCATCAAAAGGCACCTTCAGGGTGTAGCCATGAGTGTTGTTGGGATAAACAACATTTGTGATGGCGCGGCTGCTCTCATTTGTAAAGGGAACTGTATGTTCTTGTCCATTCAAATTAACAGCTGCCAACTCAACGTCTTCAGGGACGTCCCCGAGGTAGATCGTGAAGGTGCGCTCCTCAAGAACCGTTCCTGAAACAAGAAGCCATTCAGATTATGGTTGCAGCAACTTGGCCAATGTCTTGTCCTAAGACTTACGGTTTGCCGTGAAAACAGGGCGTGGCAGTAGGGGAGTGGCCAGTGTCCTGTGGAAGCGAAGTCTGGTCTCTACTTTATCCTCATCCACTGAGATTTGCTCCAAGTACAAATCAAAGACATAGAACTCGTAGAGGTTGCCAGACACAAAGCTCTGCAACGGATATACATTTTGTGAAGATACAATGGTCCCACTTTTTAAAATGGTACACTAATAAGACACACTTTGTACCAAGTCATACCAAAACTAGCAGTAACGTTCTTAAAAAAAAAACAAACAAACAAAAAAACCAAACGTATAACAAACAACAAATGTACTGCTGTTGGCTTGAGTCTGTTGCTTCGGAGACGCTGAACTGTTCTGTACCATTTACCGTTCATCAACCTTCATTACACCAGTAAAGCTTTAATATTATATAATATATGAATAGTAGTTTAGGGTTAAATATGAGACTCACTTGAGTTTACAGTATAGTAACATCTATTACAGCCTTTGCTGTCTAATTAGCCATTTGGTTTCTAGTGTGTGTATATAATAGTGTCTAACAAACCATTTTATGTGGTTTCCAGTTAAAGCATAATTTGGTGTTATATTATGCTGCACCATACTTATTGACCCACATGTTAGTGATCCATCCCTGTGCTTTGCTCACGACATCCAGTTTTAAACAGGAAATGTGGCAAGATGCTCTTCTTGTAACTTGAGACATCACATGCTACAATCTGCAAAACTCACATTGGCTTGTCTATATCATAAAAACAATCACAACATGTCAGAAACTGCAGTGCAAATTTCGAACTCCACATCAGAAGATTTTCTTCTGGAAAATGTCACATCTGGCATCAAGCATTCAGTGACGTTTACGAAAGCTTTGAAAGTCTTGCAGACTTGTTCAATTCTTAATTTGTAGACAATTTCCAAATTATTTTACACTGACTGATTATCTAGGCATGTTTGTCCAAATTGTGGACCACGAATGGGTCTGATGATAACTTCAAACTCAGTCTACCAAGACTAGTGAGCATCTACTTTGAAATACATCATTTAGGTCTGTAGCGTCTGACCTTCCTGTATCCCCCAGGAGCATTATAGGGAATGCTGGTCTGCAGTGTGGTGTTGTGCTTCTCCACAATGTAGCCTCTCTCCACTGCAACCCGCTGTTCCTCAAGTTCACCATTGAGTCCAATGTTGAGTTTTGTGCTGTGAAGACCTGGGTAAAGTGCATCAGGAGTCTCCCACACCATGTAGCCGCGGTCGTCATATGATCCCTCATCTGTAAAAAGATGAATATTGCAGCTTGAACTGTAAACCTTTTAGTTAAATGCTAACCACAGCAAAGTAGAGATTGTTGTACTGACCCACGGAGCAGCAGCCACCAGGTCGACTATGAGGACGACCCATCTTTGTCTGGAGAACAGAGTTGCATGGACCACCTCTACTGGAACACCATTCACCTGGAGAGACACTCAAAATGCAAACCTGCTTTGGACTTAACGCTTTAAAAACAGACATGGTCTGTTAGTGGTTTACCTTAGTGCTAAGTGAGCCAGGTTGTCCATATGGTGTACGAAATACCAGCCTTCCATCTGTGAAGTTGAACATGTAACCCTGCTTGTGAGCTTCAGAGAGTTTTACGGGCGGTAACTGCTCCTCCGCCCTCTGAAACATCACCTGCCAATCTGAAGTGGTGGAGCTATGTGCCTGGAAAGAGATATAAAGTCTTTTCTTTTTAAAAACTTGACCTCACTAAGTGAAAGATTCTTTCAGTGATGTGAGACGTACAAGTTTGAGAGCATTCCAGTCATCGGTCTTTGTCCCAGATGTGCAGGTGACTTCACTCCTCACAGACACCTGGAAAGAAATAATTAGTCAACATCTGAAACTCTTCCATTAGTAATAATCCAAGTATGTACCAAAGCTTACTTCCATGTAGTTGGTCTCACAGGTAACCTCTCTGGGAGACCAGGGGAGAACGGGAGAACAGGCCTTGTTCAAGGAATAGGTGACCAACTTTCCTTCATGTGTTGCAATCAGGTTGAAGTTGAATGTGAACACTTTGTCATCCTGAAAGAACCCATAAATGATGTGTTAAAAACATAGCAGGGTATCAGAACTGCAACTCTTAATCGATCTGAAGTGAAGCCACATGCAATGTCAAAGTTATATCACCATTATCAAAACCAGTTTTATATATGATTTGTACACACTTTGTTGCCAGTGTGACAGCTGAAGTAGGAGGCTCGGAGCCCCACGTGGTGTAGAGGGAGGACAGAGCCACTGTAGCCACACTTTGCTGCATACTGCTTAGTGATAGGATACACGCCTGTCTCATCTGAAAAAGAATTATGACATTGCAAATGCAGCTCAGTATTTACTCCAAACCTGTTCTTGGAGAGGAGCGTGTGAGTTGAAAATAGCTCAAAGTCAATAGAGTGTGGAGTTTCTAGAGACTACAATGGGTGATTTCATTCATTAAATGCTTGACTGAAGTTTCTACTCAGAATTACATTCCTCAGTAACAGGTTGGCCGAAAGACATTTACAGCACGATGAAGTTGTGCAGGACATACCAGCAGCCTCAAAGCGAGGATCCTCCCCAGTGAAGGAGAGATTAACTGTTATCATGAAGTAACGATCAAGACACTCCATGTGCAGAACTCCTGTATGCACATACAAGTTAAGGTCAATACATGGATATTGTATTGATTATTGTATTTGTCAATGAGCCAATACTTTTATTACCATCAGGAATACCACCACATTTTGCAGCTGACCACACAGACAGGAGTAAGACCACACTGTAAGACAAAGGCATGTGTCTCTTGCATGCAAATATGTCAGCACTGAACACAAACTTAATAGCCTCTAAAACAACTTACCCAAATACAATCCCAGTAGACATAACTACTGTTTTGTTGGTAAATATCTAAAGCTAGCCCAGCTCCTAGCAAACTACACTTACAAACCAACACACTAAAGTGAACCACTTGCTTAGTATGCTGTCTGCTACACTCTAACCTCATCAGCTGCAACTTATTCACAGGTGGCTTTGATTGCCAGTGAGCTAAAAATAATTGCATCTGGTTGGTTGGTGAAGAAACCGACTTACAAAAGCTGGTGTAGCAGACACCACCACATGGTGCCATTTTAACCAGACTATACCAAGTGTTAGCAGGTGTAGTTTGCTAGCAGCTAGGCTAGCTTTAGACACTGCTAACACATCAGTATCTTCAGTATGGCTTGGTATTGCCTTGGGTAAGGTGCTTTGAGGGTCATTCATGAGCTGTTAGTTGACATTGGTGTACTTATGTGTATATATTTTTGTCTTACAGTGTGACCTTGCTCCTGTCTGTGTGGGCAACTGGAAAATCTGAAAACATTCCTGATGGTAAGAATCAAAATATCTTCTTAAATACATGCCTGTATTCATTAGAACATATATTAAGATATGAACTTTTGTATGTACAGGAGTACTTCAAATGGAGTGCTGTGATCGTTACTTGATGATAGCTGTTGCTCTCCCCTTCACTGCGACTGACACTCATTTTGAGGCTGTTGGTAAGTTCCTTTCAAACAGGGGGCAGAAACAGTAGGACTTTTCTTTTACTTACAATCTTTTTTTATTACACTGAGGAATCACCAGGCTGATGAGCCATCTGAGCACAAATCTAGTCTACAAACTAGTCAGTCAGTTCTTAAGACCAACCTGTCCTGTTCAACTCCAGCTATATTTCAATCAGGAGAGACTTCATCCGGAGCAAATGAATAATTTATTGACATGTGCACAATGACTATGGAAAATGTGAATCGTCAATTTGACCCCATCTTGACCTCATGGTATTTTAAAGGGGATTGTAAAACTGTTATTTGGTATAGAAGTCCCACCTGATGGAGTCTAGCCAGTAGTGGTGGGATGAAGAGAATTCAGATACTATCAATGGACTTCTGGTGAACTCAGTCCTGGGGCTGGATATGATGAACTGGAGGCGTATGGGGTTGAAGAGGGTTGCAGAGATCTCACACTAAAATGACAGCTGACGGCAGCAGAAAGAAGAACTGATTCAAAGTTTGACAGCAACTAAATGGCTGGCTGATTTTGCCAAACTCTAACTGTTTAGTTAAGAGTTAACGCCCATAGTCAGCTGATTAGAGAAGCGGGAAGAGCGAGGGAGTATGTGAGTGAAGCATAAAGAGTCTTTCTGGTTTAACTTTAAAACTGAGCTTCATTTTAATACATCATTGACAAATTAAACTTAAGTATTTCAGTAAATAAGTGCAAGAACAGTGTTGGAACAAAACCAATGCACTTTGTCTTTCAGATGAGACAGGTGTGTACCCCATCACTAAGCAGTATGCAGCAAAGTGTGGCTACACCATCCGTGTTCTCCCTCTACTGGCCCGCATGCAGTTCCGAGCCGCTTACTTCAGCTGTCACGCAGAAAACGAAGTATGAACAAATGACGTATAAAACTGGTTTTCATAATTTGTCAACCTAAACTATGAGATTGGCTGTGGCTTCCCTTCAGGAGCAAAACTCTAGATCGCTCAGGAGTTGCAATAACTTTTTATGGGTTCTTTCAGGATGACAAAGTGTTCACATTCAACTTCAACCTGATTACCACACATCAAGCAAAGAAGCTCACCTATGCCTTGAACAAGACCTGCTCTCCTGCTCTCCCCTGGTCTCCCAGAGAGGTTACCTGTGAGACCAACTACATGGAAGTAAGCTTAATTTCATCCAACATGGAAGCAAGCTTAATTTCATAACTAACATTTCACAAATGCTTGCTAAACTTGATTTCTCTGTAGGTGTCTGTGAGGAGTGACGTGGCCTGTCAAACTGGGATAAAGAGACACGACTGGGATGCTGTTGCCAAAACTGTGTGTTTGACATCGCCTTCTGGAAAATGTGTGGAATTTGTCACCTGCAGCTAGAATACCATAGCATACAATCAGATAAGCATATACAGTACACAACCTGTGTGTGGGGTTTTGTCTTTCCAGGCCTATGCCTCGGCCACCTCAGATTGGCAGGTGATGTTCCAGAGGGTAGAGCAAGAGCTGGTGCCCATGAGCTTTGTTAAAGCTCACAAGCAGGGTTATGCGTTTGACTTGACAGATGGAAGGCTGGTATTTCGTACACCGTATGGACAACCTGACTCCCTCAGCACTGAGGTAAACTACTGATACAGACTGTAATGCATCTAGTCCATGGTATTTGAAATTCTTAAATCCTTTTTTAATCTTACGTTAAACCAATACCTTCAATGCCGACTTGTGAAGCATTAAGTCCAAAGCCGGTTTGCATTTTGAGTGTCTCTCCAGGTGAATGGTGTTCCAGTAGAGGTGGTCCGTGCAACTCTGTTCTCCAGACAAAGATGGATCATCCTCATAGTCGACCTGGTGGCTGCTTGCTCCATGGGTCAGTATGACAATTTCTACTTTGCTGTGGTTAGCATTTAACTAAAAGGTTTACAGTTCAAGCTGCAATATTCATCTTTTTACAGATGAGGGATCATATGACGACCGCGGCTACATGGTGTGGGAGACTCCTGATGCACTGTACCCAGGTCTTCACAGCACAAAACTCAACATTGGACTCAATGGTGAACTTGAGGAACAGCGGGTTGCAGTGGAGAGAGGCTACATTTTGAAGAAGCGCAACACCACACTGCAGATCAGCATCCCCTATAATGCAAAAGGAGGATACAGGAAGGTCAGAAGGCACTGATGTAACAAGTTGGAAATGACCGTTTTGAATCAATCTGCAGCATTTAAGCTCAAATCAGGAGTATAATTCTTCATGACGCGGTCACAAAATGTGGATGTGACATCTGATCTAGCACACTTATTTAATATTGCTAGTCAAACTATTAAATTAATACAGTCAAAATTGTATTTTCAGAGCTTTGTGTCTGGCAACCTTTACGAGTTTTACATCTTTGATTTGTACTTGGAGCAAATCTCAGTGGATGAGGATCACGTAGAGACCAGACTTCGCTTTCAAGGGACACTGGCCACTCCTGTGCTGCCACACCCTGTTTTCACTGCAAACCGTAAGTATTAGGACAAGACATTGGCCAAGTTGCTGCAACCATAATCTGAATGGCTTCTCGTTTCAGGAACGGTTCTTGAGGAGCGCACCTTCACGATCTACCTCGGCGACGTCCCTGAAGACGTTGAGTTGGCAGCTGTTAATTTGAATGGACAAGAACATACAGTTCCCTTTACAAATGAGAGCAGCCGCGCCATCACAAATGTTGTTTATCCCAACAACACTCATGGCTACACCCTGAAGGTGCCTTTTGATGACCCTGATGTCATACAGCAGGTAAAGATCTTTCTGAAGTAGGCTGGCTTCTGGCTTTTGCTCCTTGCGTCTGTCATAACTGTATTTTGTGTCTCCTAGTACTCCAGAGAAGATGCAGTTCTTTACTATAGGCTGGACATCAACTACACACTGACTGTTCTGCCTGAAAACGAACTGTATTACCACCTGGCCTCTATTGAGGCATTGTTCACAGATGTCTGTAAGTCATTACACTTCAACATGTAGAAAATGGTCTCTGTTTGTATTAGCAGTGAGCAGAGTATCCAATGTCTTGTATTTGACAGATCCTCCATCGTTGGATGCCGCCTGTTCCGAGTCTGGGATCAGCTTCAAACTGGACCACCGGCCTTTTGGCTACCTGTGGGAGCTCCGTGTCGGCTCTGACCCGCTGACGTCAGAGCTGGCAGCCCAGCACGGCTACATCATGAGCAATGATAGCCAGAGTCTGCTGCTCAATGTGCCGCTCTTCACTCATGGCTACAAGTACAAGGTGAGATGAGGAATCTCCTATTGGAAGCATCTCTTAAGGCGTTGCCTGGACCGAGGACATCAGTGACTAAGCTGCATGTATTTTCTACAGGACGTTACTTTGAAGGGCTTCTCTGGCACTTTTGAGGTCATTGTGTGGGATCGTGAAGCATCCGAGGTCCAGAGTTCAGCTGTCACGACTTGCCTCTTCTCTGCTCCTGAACTCATTAGTAAGAACATCCTTACCGTAAGAGCTGGTGGGTCTTAGTTGACACGTGCACTAAAACAAATCTCTGTGTAGTGTGTTCGACTGATGGGAGGATGACCGTGGTGGCTGACTTGTCTCTGGCCGTCCCAAGCGGAGGAGTTCCTGCCAGAACCAACCTCCTAGATAAACACTGTGGCCCCAGAGAGGCAGATGACACCAGGGCTCTCTTCTCTTTTCCGGTCAACAGCTGTGGATCCATAGTCAAGGTAGTACCACTGTTCTTCTCTTCAGTACTGCAAAGGGTCACTTCATGTACTTTAATTACGGTTACAGCTGTGTTTGTGTGTAATTTTTATTTCTCCAGCTTGGCATGGAAACTGTGACCTATGAAAACCAAATTTTCTTCAGCAAGACGTTGCATGCTGTGAAACATCAAGCAGACTTGGGCAATGAGATTGACAGGTATATCTTCAACCCCACGTCCATTAGGTTATGTAGCCTTACTCTAGTCATGCTGCAGACTATTTCATTGTTTTGTCTTGCAGGGTGAGGGTGCAGTGTACATATGCGCTGGACGGACTGAGCCGCACAGTATACAGGTTTCAATCTGAAGAAGCTGGAGTAGGTCACATTGTGCACTCCAGTGGAGGTAGGTGGGCAAACTAGATAAACCACATCACTCAATATATCATGTTTGACAATCCGTTTGGTCTTCTATTCTAGGTCTACGGAGTCCCGTCATCCAGCTTTCTACTGTGCCTCAAAAGCCAGTGCCCATTTCCAGAAAACGAGTCTCAATAAGACGTGGTTACCGCCCACCTGCTAAGCACATCAGAGTATCCAGCTTTCTAAAGAATCGTTACAAGAAAGGTCGGTACTTAAAACCCTGGTCAAACTTGACAGTAAGAAGTCTGTTCCTAAATATAATTTCTCTTCACAGGAGCTAGAGGATCCAAGCCAAAGGGAATATCTCCATATCATAAAGGACATTTGTGTATTAAGTGTAAATCTCAATAAAATGGTGTCTTAAAAATATGGAGACTGTAATTGGGAAATTGATCCTACACCACTGTACATTTATAAAAAATGAAAGTTCAGCTGATAATGACCAATTTGCTTATTGCCGGACAGAAGCAATAGCTGGATTGTTACCCCACACTAACTTCTAATGTTACATTATCCAAACTTATAGATCAATACACCAGACATCTCTTTGCAAATGCACAAATTCCAATTAATTCCCCAGCCACTAAGAGTTGACCATAATTCAAATGTTTGGCGGAAGCGTCCAGAGACGGGGACTCGAGTCCGGCTTAATGCACACACAGTGACTTGAGACTCGTCCTCAAAAGACTTCAGACTTGACTCTAACTCGAGGTGCGGGACTCGTGAACAATGTTTGTTTTTAGGAAATGTCTCATGAGTTCGCTGTTATCGATTGTTTGCCATTATGGCAATTTTGAAGGTCTTTGGATGCTATATATATATATATATTTTTTTTTTTTGGCAGGGCATAGGTTAAAACACTTTACTAGTCACAAGTGCCATTTGAAAATAGCTTGGTCTGCTTCCATTAGACACCCTGCTTAAAATTACACTAATTAGAGGTTGGTGAACTGAAAGATTGGTCAAAGAGCCCCACACACATCTGGCACAGGATGATGATCAGGAGGAAGAACCTTCATCTCACTCCCCTTTGTTCACACCAACTATCGCCTGCTACTGATCTATGTGCACAGTTTTCTGAATAAAGATCTTTTGCTTTTACCTCACTGTCTGTGGTGTTCTGTGTCAGCTCACTACAAGAAATAACTTTGACAACGAGGGGGTGGCCCCCTTCCTAGCAGAAGGGTTCCTTGCGGTCCCCGGACGAGTAAGACTATCAGAGCTTCTCCAGATCACAACCTGTTTCAGCAACCTGTAGTGAGGAGGACTTCACTATTGGAGGATGGGAGCGTCCCTCCAGTGAAAGTCCTGCATATCCAGGACATCGAACCCATTGGCCAGCAGTAGGTCCTGGGGTGGAGGAGTATACAGGCCCTTTGCACTGTGATTTTCCTTGCAGGCCACAGTCCAGTGTTCTGGCTGATGTGGAGTCAAACTAACGAGCCTTCAGTTTACCCTCATCGACAAGCGGCCTTGGCTCCGCTGGACCGTGGCAGGGAGTAGAAATGGCAGTTTCTTTTGCCTTTGCTCCCATGAGGAGTCATGGGCCTTTAGGCTGAGCTGATCCTCAGGCTCTGAAGCTCATATGATGATAGAGCTGAACCATGGAAGGGTGGAGTCATTGTTTTGTTTTGTGCCAGCAGCCATAACATGCTGCTGCTTCTGCTGAATGACTGAAGCTAAGCAGAGGACGGCATCTGCTAAAGCACAGTATCCCCCGAGGTCATGACTCACTGTGGCACTTGTCGCAAAGAGTAGGGGGTTCCTGGGTGTCATCAAAATTTGTCAAAATTCCCAGCCTGCCTTTCTCTGTCTGGACATCTAATCATCCCCCAGTGTAATTGGCTCAATGTTTCCCTCCCTCTCCACCTCAAGCTGATGTGTGGTGAGTGTTCTGGCTCAAAATGACAGTGTATGAAACCAATGACCAAAATAGTCATTCTTTCATTGTGTTACTGTATTTCCCTGAATGCTGGGGACCCCCTCAAGGACTCCTGGGGGTCCTGGATCCCACTTTGAAAACCACTGCCACAGAATGACCATAGAATTGTTGCTTAAAATTGGACAAAAATGAGAAATTTAAGAGAGCTATGGGTGGACACTTACAATTTCAATTGCCGGAAAGGACTTCAAAGGAATTGCCCTTCTTGGGAAGAAGAATAGTACAATAAAACTTAAATAGCCCGGGCTTTTATTTACTTCAATCACTGAACTCCCCCTGCCTATATTTGGGACAAACATCCAATATGGGACAGGCTTTTAATTCTTTTCACACAAAACTTTTGCTCAGTAAAAGATGGGAAATCTAGGCTTCTATCAAATTGTAATTTTAATCAGCATTAATATTACATGTATGAAAATACATGTAATAATGCTGATTTACAGTGCAGTGCTGTTCAAGGACAGCTGGTCATAGTGTGTCAAACCCAGGATCATATGCGGCCAAGCCGGGCACAGTTAAGTGTAATGAGATTGTGGAGAGCCTAATCAAATATGGCAACATAACTATGTTCCACTTTCAGACTTCTCAGTCCAGAGAAAGTAAAACCAGTGCTACCATGTTTATTTGCTAACATTCCCCATAATTTACATAAGTGAGTTGAAATTACATAGTACTTGTGCACCGTTTATGGCAATGATTAATGCAGCCATTAAATATGGTGTGTTATGCAGAAGGAGTAATTCTTATTAGGGGTGGGGGGGGGAAATTGTTACAGTATAGTATCGTGATATTTTCCATGGCAATACTGTATTGCTAAATGGATGCCAAGTATCGATATTATAGAAATTGCAGGTGGGACTTAACTTTTTGGTACTAGAATAATAAAGTCTATTGCTTTTTTAGTCCACTAGAAAGCTTAACAGGACCATATAGAGTACTGAAAGTGATAACCGAAATGTATCTTTTTAGATAAACAGATGTTGACAAAGTTTGACTTTAGGGACCTAATTGGAAGTTGGAAAAAAGGTTATAAATTGCAATATTTAAAATTGAATTGCAACATAAATATTGTGATAATATTGTATCATGGGGCCTCTGGTGATTCCCACCCCTAATTCTTATACCTACGCAACTCAATATTTAGATATTGTGACACTATAAGTCAAAGCAATTGTCACTATTCCAAACTTATTTGGGTACAGTTGGGGGCTGAGCCGTTTCTGGCTGAGATGTACAGGCAGCCCTACACAGAAACAGACATCAGTAGCAGGCTGTACTATGCTTTCAATGTACTCCCTGTTGAACAGCAAGGGGCCACAATACATAAGATACTGATGTACTTAGTTGGCAAAGTTTCCACTAAAAAGGTTTCACGGTTCAGTTTCAAAATACACTGCTCAAAAAAAATAAAGGGAACACTTAAACACAATGTAACTCCAAGTCAATCACACTCCTGTGAAACCAAACTGTCCATCAATTTCACATGCTGTTGTGCAAATGGAATAGACAACAGGTGGAAATTATAGGCAATTAGCAAGACACCCCCAATAAAGGAGTGGTTCTGCAGGTGGTGACCACAGACCACTTCTCAGTTCCTATGCTTCGGTCACTTTTGAATGCTGGTAGTGCTGTTCACTCTAGTGGTAGCATGAGACGGAGTCTACAACCCACACAAGTGGCTCAGGTAGTGCAGCTCATCCATGATGGCACATCAGTGCGAGCTGTGGCAAGAAGGTTTGCTGTGTCCGTCAGAGCATGGAGGCGCTACCAGGAGACGTGGAGGAGGCTGTTCGAGGGCAACAAACCAGCAGCAGAATCGCTACCTCCACTTTTGTGCAAGGAGGAGTGCTGCCCGAGCCCTGCAAAATGACCTCCAGCAGGCCACAAATGTGCATGTGTCTGCTCAAACGGTCAGAAACAGACTCCATGAGGGTGGTATGAGGGCCCGACGTCCACAGGTGGGGGTTGTTATTACAGCCCAGCATCGTGCAAGATGTTTGGCATTTGCCAGAGAACACCAAGATTGGCAAATTTGCCACTGGCACCCTGTGCTCTTCACAGATGAGAGCAGGTTCACACTGAGCACATGTGACAGAGTCTGGAGTCGCCGTGGAGAACGTTCTGCTGCTACGTTCTCTATGGGTTGATAAATTTGATTTCCATTGATCATGTGATTTTTTTGGTCAGCACATTCAACTATGTAAAGAGTGTATTACATGAGATTTCATTCAGAGCTAGGGTGTTATTTTAGTGTTCCCTTTATTTTTGAGCACTGTAGAAAGAATTGTTAGCTCAACTAGGAGTCTGGAAACCAAGAGGTGCTGTGCCTTTCTATATACAGAGCTCCTTGGAAGTTGGAAACTCACTCCTGTACAGTTAACCTGCAGTGCAGGTTAGATGACCGCTCAACCTTGTCATTTTCATGTAGTGTTCGTCTTAATGACAAGTCAAGTATTTAAGACAAATTTATTAAGCTTTATTTAAAAATTACACAATTACAAGCCAAACTGTTGATTCACTTTTTCCTGATGATCATCTAGTGCCTGTAAAGAGAATTTAAGATTGTCAAAAAAAAAAAAACCAACACCCTCTTAGTAACACCTTACCAAATTTGAAATAGCAGCCAACCTTTCTTTGAGAGACGGTTTAGATATCTGGGTACTTTGATGTAATGAGCAGGGGGGCGGTAACCGGGTCTTATTGAGACTCGTCTTCTGGTTGTAGGCACTGGTGTTTGAGGCTCAGCAGATGGGTAGATGAGGGGACTCTGAACTACAAGACCAAATGGTTTGTCAAATAGGGCTGTACAATATGATACATAGTTTGAAAAAAAAAAAAACATTTAGGGGTAATCTATCGAGTCTCCAACTTAACCATGTTGCACCCCCCAAAAAAAGAATCACACAGGTAATATATCCCAATGTACATGACCTCTAGTGGGATTTGAGTCATATTGCACAGCCCTGTTGTCAGACATGAGTGATGTCGTTGGCCCACATACCTCCTCTGGAGTGTGCAGAATGCACAATGCGACCAACACCATCTTTGTTTGACTCAAATCTGTACACTGAGAAGAGGAGATATAGTGTGTCCAGCGCATATGTACACTGCACAGTCACCCTGCAAGAAGAGATGGTAAAAAATTTAAAAGTCTGCAGTATGACTAGAGTAAGGCTACATAACCTATGGACGTGGGGTTGAAGATATACCTGTCAATCTCATTGCCCAAGTCTGCTTGATGTTTCACAGCATGCAACGTCTTGCTGAAGAAAATTTGGTTTTCATAGGTCACAGTTTCCATGCCAAGCTGGAGAAATAAAAATTACACACAAACACAGCTGTAACCGTAATTAAAGTACATGAAGTGACCCTTTGCAGTACTGAAGAGAAGAACAGTGGTACTACCTTGACTATGGATCCACAGCTGTTGACCGGAAAAGAGAAGAGAGCCCTGGTGTCATCTGCCTCTCTGGGGCCACAGTGTTTATCTAGGAGGTTGGTTCTGGCAGGAACTCCTCCGCTTGGGACGGCCAGAGACAAGTCAGCCACCACGGTCATCCTCCCATCAGTCGAACACACTACACAGAGATTTGTTTTAGTGCACGTGTCAACTAAGACCCACCAGCTCTTACGGTAAGGATGTTCTTACTAATGAGTTCAGGAGCAGAGAAGAGGCAAGTCGTGACAGCTGAACTCTGGACCTCGGATGCTTCACGATCCCACACAATGACCTCAAAAGTGCCAGAGAAGCCCTTCAAAGTAACGTCCTGTAGAAAATACATGCAGCTTAGTCACTGATGTCCTCGGTCCAGGCAACGCCTTAAGAGATGCTTCCAATAGGAGATTCCTCATCTCACCTTGTACTTGTAGCCATGAGTGAAGAGCGGCACATTGAGCAGCAGACTCTGGCTATCATTGCTCATGATGTAGCCGTGCTGGGCTGCCAGCTCTGACGTCAGCGGGTCAGAGCCGACACGGAGCTCCCACAGGTAGCCAAAAGGCCGGTGGTCCAGTTTGAAGCTGATCCCAGACTCGGAACAGGCGGCATCCAACGATGGAGGATCTGTCAAATACAAGACATTGGATACTCTGCTCACTGCTAATACAAACAGATACAATTTTCTACATGTTGAAGTGTAATGACTTACAGACATCTGTGAACAATGCCTCAATAGAGGCCAGGTGGTAATACAGTTCGTTTTCAGGCAGAACAGTCAGTGTGTAGTTGATGTCCAGCCTATAGTAAAGAACTGCATCTTCTCTGGAGTACTAGGAGACACAAAATACAGTTATGACAGACGCAAGGAGCAAAAGCCAGCCTACTTCAGAAAGATCTTTACCTGCTGTATGACATCAGGGTCATCAAAAGGCACCTTCAGGGTGTAGCCATGAGTGTTGTTGGGATAAACAACATTTGTGATGGCGCGGCTGCTCTCATTTGTAAAGGGAACTGTATGTTCTTGTCCATTCAAATTAACAGCTGCCAACTCAACGTCTTCAGGGACGTCGCCGAGGTAGATCGTGAAGGTGCGCTCCTCAAGAACCGTTCCTGAAACGAGAAGCCATTCAGATTATGGTTGCAGCAACTTGGCCAATGTCTTGTCCTAATACTTACGGTTTGCCGTGAAAACAGGGCGTGGCAGTAGGGGAGTGGCCAGTGTCCTGTGGAAGCGAAGTCTGGTCTCTACTTGATCCTCATCCACTGAGATTTGCTCCAAGTAGAAATCAAAGACATAGAACTCGTAGAGGTTGCCAGACACAAAGCTCTGCAATGATATTTTGTGGACACTGTCAGGTTTAAAATGCCTCAAATACCCAATTTCCTGCTTTATTAAAAAACAAATCCAGAAAATCTCAAGCATCTCTTCTGTTAATTAGTTGAATGTGCAATAAATGAGCTCATTTTGGCTGTTAAGACTACATATTAGTGTCAATTGTGCCTTCTGACCTTCCTGTATCCCCCAGGAGCATTATAGGGGATGCTGATCTGCAGTGTGGTGTTGTGCTTCTCCACAATGTAGCCCCGCTCCACTGCAACCCGCTGTTCCTCAAGTTCACCATTGAGTCCAATGTTGACCTGCGTCATGTGTAGACCAGACCCCAACGGATGCATCACCTCAGGAGTCTCCCACACCATGTAGCCGCGGTCGTCATATGATCCCTCATCTGTAAAAAGATGAGTATTGCAGCTTGAACTGTAAACTTTTAAGTCCAATGCTAATGACAGATCATTGTACTGACCCATGGAACAAGCAGCCACCAGGTCGACTATGAGGATGATCCATCTTTGTCTGGAGAACAGAGTTGCACGGACCACCTCTACTGGAACACCGTTCACCTGGAGAGACACTCTAAAAACTAACCATGCTTTTACACCAGGGAATAAGGTTGAGATAATGTATAAGATGAAACCTTACTGGTCTTGCAAAGTTTACCTCAGTGCTGAGCGAGTCTGGTTGTCCATACGGTGTACGAAATACCAGCCTTCCATCTGTCAAGTGGATCACATAACCCTGCTTATGAGCTTTAGAGGGATTAATAGGCATCAACTTCTCCCCATCTCCGTGCAAGGTCACCTGCCAGTCTGAAGCATTTGAGGCATAGGTCTAGGAGAGAATCACACCATTTTATTCTATTGCAGCAAAATTCATGAAAGTGACAACTTCGGTAGTATTACACATTGAAGTTGAAACATACCGTTTGTGGAGCAGCTTGCCAGTTAGCTTCCTTTGTCTCAGATGGACAGGTGACTTCACGCCTCACAGACACCTAGAGACACATTACGATTGGAATACATTTGAAATGATTCCTTAAATTTAACATTTTCAAGTATGTACCAAAGCTTACTTCCATGTAGTTGGTCTCACAGGTAACCTCTCTGGGAGACCAGGGGAGAACGGGAGAACAGGCCTTGTTCAAGGCATAGGTGACCAACTTTCCTTCATGGGTTGCAATCAGGTTGAAGTTGAATGTGAACACTTTGTCATCCTGAAAGAACAAGTAGAAATTATGGGATGCCAAACCTAGCCTGTATAGTATTAGTGTGAGTCCTTTGTACACACTTTGTTGCCAGTGTGACAGCTGAAGTAAGAGGCTTGGAGCTCCACGTGGCCCTGTAGCGGGAGAACACTGATACTGTAGCCACACACTGCTGCATACTGCTTAGTGATGGGGTACACACCTGTCCCATCTGGAAGACAGTTATTAGACCCAACATCTCACTTAATCTGTTAAATTCATTTTTTTTAAAAAGTGTCACACTTCATTGATTAGATCCTTGATTTGAGGGGAGCCAATTTTTTGATGAAGCTGGGAATTACTTACCAACGGCATTAAAGCGAGGTTCATTCCCAGTGAATGAGAGATTAACAGCAATCATCAAGAAACGGTCACAACACTCCATATCGAGAACTCCTGCATGAACATACATGTGTCAAAATGGTTTACAGTTGTAGGCCTATAAGCAAACATTTCAAGCCTTACCCTCGGGAATGTCATCACATTTTGCAGTTGACCACACGAAGAGGAGCAAGGTCACACTGTAAGATAAAAAGCAGAAATAAGTCTCATGCAAGAGAACTGCATCAATGTCACCTAACAGCTTGTAAGTTACCCTCAAGAACCTTACCCAAGGCAAACCCTAAAAGCCATAGATGCTGATGTGCTGGCAGTGTCTAAAGCTAGTCTAGCTACTAGCAAACTACACCTGCTAACCAACACAAGCTAATGCACGCCACTTGGTATATTCTAGTTAAAATGGCAACATGTGGGGGATCTCCTGCATCCGCTTTTAAGTCAGTTTCTTAACCAACCAACCAGAGTCCCTTATGCATTACAACCACATGCGTAGCTCATTAGCAATCAAGCTGTCTTCAATCTGTGGACCTTTCACAGCAAACATTTGACTTCACAGGTGCAGCAAATGACATTAAGATGGCTGTTTTCCATTCTTCTTCCCACTCCTTTTCGAAAAAGTCTTTGGCTGTAACTATTGTTAATTAATTATTAATTTATTAATTTATTATTGTCTTATTCTAAATCACTTTGATTTGTTTTCTTGATTTCATTTTCTTGTCGGATGTTCTTTTTACATATATTCGAAATAAACACAATTTAAAAACCCAGCATGTTTAATACCAGAGCCCTTGAACTAGGACATCAGACAAGGCCAGTGTCTCGAATTATTAATTTATCAAATCACAGAATGGTAGTGATGGGCAAAGAGGGGCTTTGTGAAACATTGAAGCAATTGTGCCAGAGTTGTGTCGAGGCTTCAAAACAAGTCGGCACCCATCTCCACGGTGATACTGGTCTCTTTTGATATCAACACATCTTGATAGTGGTTTCATCAGTGAAACAAAGACTGACAAACGTTCACAAATTCTAAACGTCTTATCAATACATGACCAATAGGATTTTGGAGAAATCACCATACACCAAACAAACAAGCTTTCAGATTGTCAGACAGCAAACTGGGATTGCAATGAACTGTGTTTTTGAATAAAACAAATCTGTTGTGTTGTTTTATAATTAAAAAATATAAATTAAGGAACAATTTCTCACATTTGTTAAATGTCAAGATTTTTATTCAAAAATATTATCCATTCTGTTATTTTGGGGCTGAGTCGATTTTATTTAATTTTTTTTAATTAAACATATGACCTCTCCAGCCTTGGAAAAAACTTGTTCACGTGGTTGCAGGAATTTTTTTTTATCACATTCAAGTGCGTATATACAGCACGTCACTCCTGCCAAGAAATCAAATGATCGTCAATCCTCGGAGCGCATCTGTTAAATATTTCTCAACCTGTACAGGGGCATCTGTATCAAAAAGTTCTCACACCAGAGATTGGGATCTCTTACGTGGAATCTCCATCATAATCTTCACACCTGTCAAATTTCTCTCTCCACACACACACACACCTTTATTTAGGTACACCTTGCCAGTACCAGGTTGGACCCCCTTTTGTCTTCAGAACTGCCTAAATTGTTCTTGACTTTCAACAAGGTGTTGGAAACACAGACTTTGGTCAGCAACAATACTCAGGTAGGCTGTCATGTTTAAACAATACTCAATAGGTATTGGTATGCCAAGAAAATATCCCCCACACACCATTATACCACCACCAGCCTGAACCGTTGATACAAGGCAGGATGGATCCATGCTTTCATGTTGTTAACGCCAAATTCTAACCCTACCATCTGAATGTCTCAGCTGAAATCGAGACTCATCTTCTATTGTCCAGTTTTGGTGAGCCTGTGTGAATTATAGCCTCAGTTTCCTGTTCTTAGCTGACAGGACAATTAACAGTGGTCACGTGACACTGACATTTTTTAGTGTTTTGAAACATCTGTGCTTTGGGATCTTGCCACAGCTATGAAACGTCAGGATGAAACGCCCCATCCCTACAGAATGGATTTACATGTTTACAAATGGAACAATATAGGCTATCTTTTCATTTAATTTCTCATATCTTGTCAGGATAAACACTAAAGAGAAGATGTACAAAATAATCTACAACAAAATATATAAAAGTGTTTATTTATTTAAGTTACAGGGCAAGTATGCAGAAACCCTGCAGAGCATCAGTAGCAGCAGCATGGAGACGAGCGTCCACGTGATCCACACTGAAACTCCTGAAAAGAGGAGACCAGGTTAGACATCGTGTCCTTTACACCAAAGTTTGACATAATTCATCTTCATAATGAGTCACCCCAGTTCAGTTTCAATAAAAAGTAGATTTAGGTGTTTGTGTAAAACATCTAGCAAAGATTTAACAATGATTTAAATAGTTTAAGTTTCACAGCAACACTACCTAGATGAAGGTTTTGCTGTCCCTCTGAAGTCACCCTCCATTTTCTTTGACCTGAATGGAGTGGAAAACAACAAATTACACATTTACATAATTTATATCAAACATCAGTTTCAGATCAACTTTTTTTAAATACCAGTTGAAGACACAGACACACTGACACACACACACACACACACACACACCTGTGTTTGCAGCTTCCCTACGTGTGCGCTGGACTGGCTTGATGGGTGAAAGGTCCAGGGAGGAGTTCAAAGGGTGTTGGATAGCAAGAGTACTACTATGATTTGCTGGGTAGCGGCACTGAATCGTCAGCCTATAACAGACAAGACTCAACACGATCATCTGATTTAAAGGCAGATCGAGTTCAGTATGTACGTTACTCACCTGTATGGAGGATCTCTGTGTATAAGGGGATCATCCAAAGGGAGAAAATTTTGAGGGTAACTGATCTGGTTTTCATAAACAAGGAAATTTCCCTCAGTCTGAGGAAATATGAAGAAATCAGCTGGGAGGCCAGAAAGCATATTTTCTGTCTGAATGTCAAAAAATTCAAGTGTCTCACAGTTACAGTTGTCCCACAGGAGTCCAGACTGAAGCTGAACAGGGCTCTGGCACTGTCCGTCTCCATGGGAACACAGCTGGGGTCCAATAGCGTGGTTCGATTGGGGTGAGTAGGCGGGATGGTGTGGGTGGTGTCGACTACTGCCACCATCCTGCCTTCTGGCAAACATACTGTCAGAGAAATACTGCGAGTGTCAGGGTTATTATAAACCAAGGACAAAAAAAATGTTATGCTCCAGTTTGAGCTTGTGTCTTACCTAGTAGTTCTCCAACAGGGAAGGTGCATTTACAGACAAGACTGTCCTCCACTTTCAGAGACTCTGCATCCACAACAGACACTTCCACTCCAGAGACAAGACCCTGCAATGTCAGCTCCTGCAGGGGAAAAGAAGTTGGCAGACGGGAGAAATCAAGCATTACGACAGCAGCGACGTGATGGAGTGACGTGTGATGAGCATTAAATTAGTCTGTAAACAAGCACAAACACTGAAGATCTTCTCATAAGCATTGATGGTAAGTGGATTGTCAGTGGATTGTCTTATCAAAGTATCCATCAACATCCATTAAGATAGTTTAAGAAACAGAGTCTGAGGAGTGTTTCTAATGCTTAATTTACTTTGAAAGCAAATTTACCTAATTGCACTCACAGATGGGATCCTTGTATCAGAATCCGTACGATGAAGATTAGGCATTAGGTGAGTAAATGGAAAACCAAATTAAGTATCTGCTAACAGTATTATTGTTACACTGACAAATCAATGAACAATGATGTTACGTCACATCGGGTGAAAATCTTTGATTGAATGAATCATTGATCACCATATAGTTCATTCCGGGGCTGTAGGAGGGGATCTCCACAGTCAAGTAATCCTCCTCCGCCTCCACTATGAACCCACCCATCATCACCAGGTCCCAGTCCAGCCTGTGAGCTCCGAGGAAGAGCTCCCACTGCAGCTCGGCCTGGGTCCCGTGGTGCAGCAGCACCAGCAGGCTGCTCTGTGTGCACTTCACCTCCAGCTTGGGGGACACTGGAGCTGCACCGGGACAGATAGGGAATCATCAGGGGCAGATGTTAATAAGGGTGATATTCAGATTTTAAGAGAAGAGTTTAGCATGTGGTTGAGTTTGCATTGATTTTTAATCAATTTAATTTTCTATTAATGTTTAGTATTGATTTTGCGTCACACAGCGGCACGTTGTAACAACAAATATGTTGGTCACACACCATTTTCTACAAGAATACTGTTAATTACAACTAACCTAAAACTAAAACTAACTCACCTGAAGCGGCTACATGGTGTGAGTGTGGGGACGTCTGCTTCCCCCTCCCTCTCAGATTCAGCTCTAGCTAGCCCCATAGGTACCGCTAGCAAGACTGTTGAGCAAATTATTGTAACTTCCTCAAATTGTTTAACTGTAAATGTGTGGGGCGGTTATAAAAGTTTAACTGGAGTCAGGAAATAAGGACTGGTCTAAGGCAAGTTCAAGGCCGGTTTTATTTTATCTTTTGTCTGATACATGTTTTGAGATAAAGAAACTGCAAGATGCTTACAGAGTTTCAGTAGTAGAGCAACAAATACGTGAAGTAATTTATGATTTAGTTAATTTATGATAAATATAGTAAAATAAAAATCAAACTCTGTACCATATTGAATTGCATAGCTTATTCTTTTGCATCGTGTCCTATCTCATTCAGTCTAATCTATATAATTGCAATGCGGTGAATAATATGGAACATTGGTAGTTGTTTCATACGTATCTTTAATGTGTCAGATCGTTGACAAAGCATCAAGATGCATATCACATCGGCCTCGGTGACAGAGATGCACATCCCTAATATATATTATTTATTCACATACACATGGGCATTTTAAAATGTTAAATCTTGGAAATTTATGATTTTCAAATGAAATTAATCCAAAAAAATACATTGCATTGGAAAATGGTCTGTAGTAATATGAACAATACAAGTTGTTCTAATTGTGGGCATAAAACATGCAAGCCGTCAGTATATTCATTTAAACGTCACCAAATGCTCCTAATCAATGCGACAAGAAACTTGAATTGCTAAATGAATCACTCACGTGCGTATTCAACGATATGCTTTACGGTGGCTTTATGGTAAAAGACCTCTCCTTTGGGTGAGATGTTAAGAGTAAAGGTGAACGAGAGGCTGTAGGTCTCATAGCCACCACCTATATGCTGGGATTAGACGGCAGGTCATTTCAGATTTGAAGTTGTACACATAATAAAACTGCTCAGTCAGTCTCACCTCTGGGATTATTTTTGGGTGTGTCAATGGGAAAAGAAGCTGGTAGGAGTGGCTCCCGTTGGAGTGGGAGAGCCTGAGCACACGGAGATCTGTGTCGCT